CTGTCGGGTGAGAGTCATGTGATGGCAGTGAGGATGAGCTGAAATATGAACGTACTCGATAAAGCGTCGATGCTTTCCAGCCTCAGAGTTGCTTGGCGCAGCAAATCCTCGGTGGTTTCGAACATGTTGCTCGGCAAAGCCGTCTCTCGGTACTACAGATGTATCTGGCGAGCCACGGCCAAAGCCCATGTTGTAGAAAGCCTGAGTGCCAGCGGAGTGACTCTCAGACAACTGCTGTGTGTTAGCAGCTGCACCATACTGTCAGTATTGGCAACTCACAAAAGGATTTCCGACCGACCTGAGTTGACTGAGTTCATCGCCGGTGCGGTGGTCCCACCGGTGCGAAGGTCATCACCTCTGCCGATGGTGAATCTCCCCCAGCACATGTCAAAATTGGCTGAGAAATAGTCAGTCTTGAATGGCAATGTACATGACCTATACTCGCCTTCATAACCCACTGCTGATGCAGACGGCCGGTCCTCCCAACACATATCATATTGACCAGCCGCCAATGGTATGGCGATATCCATGGTCGGAGTCTCGATAGTCGCCGGCTCCACTATCGGTGGCGAGTCGACCTTTGATGGGTCCAGTTCATCGTCCCAACAAAGATTGTACTGACCTGCAGCAGCAGGTCTCGCTGCATTCTCGCTCACGATCGGCGCCGGATCAACCTCAGTGTCCCAACACATGTCGAATGCTGGCCAATGGATCAACAATGGGCGATCATACAGCGATACGCGACTTACTTTGACTTCCAAAGTGTTCACTGGCCGATGATGTTCCAGTCGGCGTCCCCACGGTCAGCGGGTCATCGGCTTCAGTGCTCCAGCCCATGTCAAATACTGAAGTGTGGTCAACAATTAGCAAAGGTCAATTGAATAGGGGACTTACTTTCATGGCCAAAATATTTCTTGGAAAGTGCGTCTGCATGATCTGGTCGTGTTTGCATGACTGAGGACGGATGTTTCTTTGGTTGAATGGTGCGGGATGTAGTTGGTCGTTTAGGTCGAATGCGAAATTTGTTGAGACCGACAGGAATCACGTCTTTTTGAGGGGATGGAGTTGGCCACAACTTCGGTGGCACCCACTGATCCCACGTGACAAAGAAATTCCGGTCGGCTTTGATGCGCTCGTCTTGTAACCGCTGAGCTTTGTCAATTGGATGCTCGTGGGAATCCATGGTGCTGGTAATGGACTTCGAAAATTTTGTGCTGCCAGTTGGTATTGTTCAGGTGTGATTAGAAGTGCATTTGGTGTGATTCGAAGTGTGGACCCATTTTGGCAGGTCCCTGGCGGCATCACATTTTGCCGACAACACGAGTGCAATTTGTGGACTTCATTTTTGTGAAGTCAAATCCACATCCACACACTGTCGTTCCCGATATAACAGAGTCAACACTCATCCTATCTTCTACATTTTTACTATTACATCTCTACAATGTCTTTAACAATCGAATCGAACCAGGCTTTGGCGGTCGCCGACATGTCTTTGCGCCGTGCACTCCGCCGGATTAAAATCCATCAAGCAGATGGCAGCGTGGTCGTTGACCAAGCTCATGCGATCGCCCAGCTAGTGGTAAGTTTCTGATTCCCGATGTTCTAATTTGCTCACCGACCCTTCACAGTCCACTGCCCTTCAGCAACATGGAAGAACTGCCTCGGTCATCTCGCCATTGCTGCTGTCTGCTGTGGCCGAGGTCAGAGCGACCATGAACCAAGGCATCGCCCCACAGTGGGCTCGGGTGCGGGATAACGATACTTGGATGGAGTCCCACCCTTTCTTCCCGAAGACCGTTGGATATGGTGAGTTGGCGGTCATTCTGTCTGTCTTCACAGCTCAACGTCTTGACAGTGGCAGGAGGCACACCCGAACCTGCACCTCAAGTCGCCCCAGCTCCAGCTCCAGCTCCAGCTCCAGCTCCAGCTCCAGCCCCAGCTCCAGCCCCTGCACCAATGTCAGTCCCTCCGATCGAATCGCTCCCTACCACCAGGCACCAGCACAATCTTCTTGTGCCTGGCACGATGACCAGCAAGGGCAAACAGCCTGCCCGTGGGACTCGGAGATCCCAAGAGGACAGCCCAAGCGCTGAGACGGGCCGGAAGAAGCACAAGGTCTCAAGGCCCTTGTCAAAAGCCTTGGTCTCCGAACACCGAGGATGAGGACGGTCAGCCAGGAGGCACCATTGTGGTTGCAAAGCTGGCCGGTCCGCCAAAGTCCAAGGTAAGCACTTCGGTGAATTCAATATCGACACCGTCGCTGACTCATGGACAGGGCGTGACCAAAGGCATCAAGAAGGTGAGATTTACCTTTGCCCACCAGCGATCACCCCTCAACAATTCTCAGACGCATGCCGAGGACACCATCGGTCGCACGCCGGCGAAGGGCAAAGGAAAGGAGAAGGCCAAGGAAGTTGCTGAGCCCATTAGAGGGTGCCCACTAGCCAAGGCCGATGCTGGGGCCAAGACTGTGAGTTTTTATCTCTGCTTGGTCACCGAGTACTCACTGTGTGATAGTACGATCCACCTTGCAAGAGGTGTGTTGACGAGCCTTGCCTTGTCATTATCGGCAAGAAAGGGCAGGTCATGAGGTCCTGTGCCAAATGCAGCCTCATGAAGGTGAAGTGTGACCGACCGATGTCGGTCGATTCTGACACTCCTGCGCCGATGGCACACCTGAGGACCAGGGCTGCACCGGCCTCCAAGAAGGTTCCCAGGAGAACCAGAGCAACCTCACGGGCACATCCACTGACTCCCATCTTGGAGTCTGAAGAGGAAGCTGTCAAGGGTACTGGTAAGCAATCATTTCTTGTATCATAATGTCCTCTAACCTTTGCTTCTAGATGTGTCCATCACAGGTGATGATGACGCCGAACATGGAGCCTGCTGCCGATGCCCCGGCTGAGCCCGCAGCGGACGACAAGATTGTCGTCAATGAGCCTCGGGCCATCGCATCTGCGGATGACTTCCCCGCCAATCATTGGGTGGAGCCCCACTCCGATGACTTCGTCATTCTGATGGCAGCTCCTGCGGCCGGAGATGTTTCCCTCCCTTCAGCATCTCTCCCACCAACCATCAGCGCCATCCACGAATGTGTGGTTTCCCTGGCTGCTAAGGTCGCTGCCATGGAAGTCGCCGACCAGAATACCCTTGCCAGGGTCGATGCGGTGCAGCAGGACTGCGAAACCCGGATCTCCTCGATGCGTGCGGAGCTTTCCTCCATGCAGTTCAATCTCGGCACCACTGTCAGCCTCGTCAATGGCCTGACCAGCCTGGTGGAGAAGCTTCGGGAGGCACAGACCGTTGCCAACCCATTGTTCCCACCACCGATGATGAGCAACTTTGGTGCTACCTCGGCCACCCCACAGATGCAAGCGATGGGCATCAGGTACTTGAACGGTGTGTACGGCCCTTCGGTTGCTACCTCGGCATCTGCTGCAGGCCCTTCGGCAGTCTCGCCCTTTCGGTCACCTTGACATGCACGGCAACACATTCACATCTGGCCAAGCGTCCTCGGTGTCAGCACATGCCGATCCTTCATCCGCTCCTGCTGTAGTTGGACCCCATTCTGCTGGAACATCACCTGCTTCGGCCGCAAAGTCTCTCCCCTGATCATTCAGCTCAATACATAGTTGTACATAGAGCATGCGTCCGTCGGCAGAATTACCCCGGTATATCATGGACTTGTATCATTTACTTTCAAATGCAATTGTTTGGCCGTTGATTCCATGTATATTCACTCTCTTTCCTGTGATATAAGTACCGACAGCAAGTCGGCAGAGTGTATCTCGGTCATGTGTTGCAGTTGGCACGGTATCCTTCAGTTTCTTGTCTTTTCAGAATTGACCGATTTATACTCCATATGACCGATCGCCCGATCTCGGTCGCCGCATCACACATGCCGATGAGATTCCACGCAACCGAAACTTCACCAACTCGTACAATTCACCGATATCTTCTTGCCATCGTCTTCAGCTCAGCAGTCCTCCCCTCATCGCACCGCCGCTTCCACGAACGGAGCCAATGGCAACCATTCTGGCACTCCTACGCCAGATGGCAACTTGGTCAGGCTGATCGCCCCACCCAATGGCATCGCTGCCATGACTCTCAATGGCACAGCACATCAACCGACAGACGTGCAGATGTCACCTCCTGCGGAACCTCCCCAGTCCAATCAGACTGGCTCACCAGTGTCTCAAGGCTGAGTCTCAGCACATTCCGGTATCTGTCCCACTCAGTAGTTACCACATCCCTATGAACGGCTATGCCACCCTGCCTAATGGCACTGTCATGCAGGTGCCGCAACCGCTGAATGGCTTCATGCAGCAATGTCTTCTGACCGAGTCATATTTGACCGAGTTGTATTTACCCGAGTGTCTCTTGACCAAGTGTCTTTTGACCGAGTCATATTTGACTGAGTCGTATTTACCCGAATGTCTCTTGACCAAGTGTCTTTTGACTGAGTCATATTTGACCGAGTCGTATTTACCCGAGTGTCTTTTGACTGTGTCATATTTAACCTGAGGTGCTCTTAGCGTATTTACCCGTGTCTTTTGACTGAGTTGCATTTACCCGAGTGTCTCTTGACTGAGTTTCTTTTGACCGAGTCATATTTGACCTGAGTTGTATTTACCCGAGTGTCTTTTGACCGAGTCATATTTGACCGAGTTGTATTTACCCGAGTGTCTTTTGACCGAGTCATATTTGACCGAGTCATATTTACCTGAGTGTCTCTTGACCGAGTGTCTTTTGACTGAGTGTCTTTTGACCAAGTCCTATTTGACCGAGTCGTATTTACCCAAGTGTCTTTTGACCGAGTCATATTTAACCGAGGTGCTCTTAGCATGTATCTTATGCATCGGATCCTGGTAGATCCCTCATCCATCATATTTGACCGAATGTATTTGACCGGGGTGGTCTTGGCATTTATATTATGGATCAATTCCTGGTAATCCCTCATCCATCATATTTGACCGAATGTCCTTTGACCGAGGTGGTCTTGGCATGTATATTATGGAAGCTAGTCTATGAACACTTTCGGCTCATCTGTATATATCAGTACCACTGCCCACTCGGCCCACTTGTTTCCATCATACATATATAGCTCTTGTATATTGCCTATCAAATGCAATAGCAAACTCCACACTTTGGACTATTGGCCCACCTGTTGGTATCAGGTACATACTTCATACACTACCTACCAAAATCAATAGAAAAGTCTACACTTATCTACACTACATACTATGGGCCCTACTGTTTGTATCAGATACACACTTGAGACCGGCCCACCTGTCGGTATCAGGTACATACTTCATACACTACCTACCAAAGTCAATAGAAAAGTCTACACTTATCTACTACACCACATACTATGGGCCCCCTGTTTGTATCAGATACACACTTGAGACCGGCCCACCTGTATTTAACACAAAGATACATTGATGGGCCCACGTCAGGTGGCCTGTGTAGAAAAGGGATATTTCAACCTCGGCTGTATGTTTTATATGAGGGTAAAGTGACTGCAGTATGTGAAAATTTCACCGTTCTGTGTGATAAATGATGTACTGCCTTCCATCTCACTCCTTGACCAATGGAATATGCGTTCATGACCTCCAGCTATCATATCCTTGTGCTCCGCAAGTGCACCTACAAGCAAACCTTGTGCCACAGCAATGCTGGTCAAAGGGTGTCTGAAGCAGTCCAATATCAGATCTAATCAACAGAAAGAAGTAAGATAAAAGCCCAATTTGATCGACGCGATTCCCATGATGCAACAAGCAAGTCTATTGAATAGCTCGTCGAATATCTTATCTAACCAACCGGATGTTGTCAAATGGTGGTGAACGCACAATAACATTCAGGATGACAGAATTTTCATCGTGTGGTAACTTCTCGACCGATTTTCTTAAAAACTTGATTATGCAGAAGACTAGATGTACATAAAACATATCGCCAAGAGCGATTGACAATATTTTGCCTGGTTGTGTTATGGCAGATGTTTTAAATTTGCGAACTAAAATGACAGCATATCACTGTATGCTCATTTGCACAAAATGAGCAAATAATAACCCCACTCAATAACAGTTTATTTCACCAGTTTATTTGCTGCTCAAACAATAAGTGGTGGGAAATAAACTGACAGCGTTATTGAGTGGCAGTTTATTTGCCAGTTTATTTCATATGCGAAGTTGTCGGAGTGAACTGAGAGTGATCGTGATGCCGAGCAGCCAAAGTACAATTGATGAGGAGCAAAAGTATACCAGCATCGAGTATGAGTGACTACTGGAGCGAAGATGGACAACAGAAGCTCGCACTCGAGCTTGCTTCATGGGACCACATCTCTCTTTTGCAAACCCCCAATTTTTCCGATCAGCTCTCTGCACCCGCTGAACTCAACTATGCTGTTGACCCGATAACTGGGATGCGTCGTTCTCCTGCGCAAGCATCGAGATCAGCACCAACACTCACAAAACTATACCCTCCCACCAATTTCATCCCTACTCACCACCAGCACACCGGGTGGCTATCTCGAAGATCTTTATGCAAATTTTTCTCCGAGTCCTAGTCGCATCGCAGATCAGCAAAACCCCCAGCATGATTTGCAAAACTTACTCCTACATCAGCACTATGGAACCCAAGTTCACGCCAGTGCTGTCTCTGGAGAAACCACACCACTACCATCGAACAGTCCTGCAACAATGTTACCCACAGGTCCAAGTCCAACGGAGGCTATCGTGTCTAGTGTTGAGAAGCCTCCATCGAAAGCTCCCCTGCCGGGCACAGGCCAAAAAGCCCGAGTTCGGACACCAACAAAAAGAAAACGCACACCAAGGGTGCAGGTAGCAAGTCTGGGCCTGCAGGTCGTCGAGACCATGGTGGTTTGGACAGGCAAATCGCAAAATTGAGTCCCTAAGGCAATCGAAGACTCAAAAATCAACACTCCTGTGAAGTCAGAGAGCATACGAGGACTCACTGACGATGACAAAGTTAAAGTTGTCGAGTATGTGACGTCGCCAGAGCTGCTGGCCTAGTTTTAAAGTTAACCAAGCGCACTACTGGAATAATGTGAGTGGCAGTTGAGTGTCTCGTACATGGAGCTTACCTGTACATCAGATCTCTGGGAATTTGTTGAAGGGTCAGGTGACATCTGAACAGGTTCGTAATTTCTGGCATGGTCAGGCCTGGGAGAAGTACAAAGCAGTCCGTGAAAGGGAGGAACATACTGGTGGAGGAGATGGAGATGAAGATGGGTCAGATGCCGAGTGTAAGCCATTGAGTGCTAAAAAACGGAAGAGAAGTTCTGGTGAATTCTCCACTAAGGTGTTGGATGAGTTTGCAAAGTCCAAAATTTACCAGTTAATTGATGCAGTGTGCATACAAAATCCATACAAAGTTCAAGTGCTGATGTACAAACAGTGCTTGCAATGATGAGAGCGTCAGAGTATTGATATCAGGGGTATGTCAGGGAGATTTACTGATAAGTAATCTAGGGTCTCATGAGGACACTTCTGTGTAATTAGCCACTTGCTACATGATTGTCCTATACACATGATACCACCTGTGAATTTGTAGAAAGATCCATTCATAAATAAGTGAGTGAAAAGCAAAGTAAATGTAAGTTGGAGATTTACTCTGGTTGGAGATTTATTACTAGTACATGAATATACTAATATCTATGTCGAAGATTTTGTTAAAAATGAGCTAAATAGAATGTAGACCACCCAATTATCCTGTACTACACTATATTCTAAGAGTGAAAGTAATGTGGAAGTGTTTTGGTGTCAAAGTGTTGTTGCAGCATTACAGTCTTACTACTAACTTAATGTGTACACTGCAACACACTATTTTCGATGTTTGGACTTTTTAGTTTCCCACACACTTTTTCTTATCTACTGGACTCCCCTGCTCTTATGTCTTGATGGATCCTTCCAATACTTAAGGACTGTGTTTCTCAGTATGTATGGCATGTATTGTGATAGTCCGATCATAACATATCATCCAATACATGTCTGAGACTCCTAATCAGTGAGAATAGGAGATATATTCTTGATATCAATACCCTGTCATATTCCTGTCTGATCCTTGCCATGGAAAGACTTAATATATGTACTAGAAGTTAAATATAAACAGCTTGGATAGTTTGTGCAATGATAATGTGGTGAAAAACCTCAAAAATGCGACAATATGCAGTAGTGCAGCCAGGAGGAGATGTTCTATTCTACAGACAGATTCTGTTGCTATTCTCATGCAGCTATGTGATTTACAATATATATATATATCAATAGGAACAGGCACCCTACCATCCTGAAGGGCTGGAGCTGCAGGAAAAGTTTTCCCAGGGGGTGAACCACCAGGAGAGGGTAAGTATATAGCACCACAGGGACTGATCTTGTTGACCTATGCTCCTGATGTGTTGTGTATACTATTGAAGGGATGTTGGGGATCATATTTCCAAGTCTATATACCTAAAGCTCGAAATTTCCGTAGCTATTTTCCATTTTATGCTAGTACAGCACAGAACATGGTATAGGACGCTCTAGGGAGTGAAGTGAGGGATCTGATAGGTACATATACATTTATAAACATATTCTAAACACTCTAGAGTACCACAATACCAGAGGGGAAAAAATGCGAAACAGTTTTTGATATGTTTTTTATTAGGTCACACTCACAGAGGCTCTGTAGCAGGTATTGGTACAAAAACAATGGGAAAAAGCGGTTTATTATGTTCTATGATGTGTATATAACCTATACTACTACTTAACTAGAGGCTATATCTAATTGTGGTGTAGTGGTGAGCCAGGGATTGATGGGGAGGGTGTGGGAAAGGTTGATATTTGAGAGAATACCTAAAATGGGCTATGTTTTGGGTGTTGTGGAGAAGTTCCCACAGTAGGTGGTTGAAAATGCGAACATGTGGTCTATGGCCTAGGTGTACTACTTTAGCATGATCTGATGCATCACTGAACATGCTAATGAGCATAGTTAATGCAATACTCATGTCTTGTAGTAAGCAGACTTAATGCATTATACCTACAGGGACTGGTGTACCATTTCGTCTGTCCTGTCGACAGCGGTCCAAGGCCACCAATGCAAGTGAAACAGCAATGAGCTGATCCCTGGAGTCTTTTGCCTCAGCAAGAAGCATAACTGTGAGAGTTTCCAAGAGTTTCATAGTAGATTCTCTCTTGCTGATCCGTTGGTGCTGACTGTCGACATCGTTGTCGATGCACTGAGCTATCACATCACTAAAAATTCAAATTGCAATATCAACCCATATATTGACAATATAATGTAGACAATAACTGTAATCCATCACAATATGACAGTTGGTTAGATATGGTCGTGTATATACATATATGGGTATCCTCGTTGTCCAATTTGAAGCATGTTTGCATAGACTTGGCGACACTCACATTAAGCAACAAAAGTGCGGACACCCTCATATATTCAGTGTATTACATTGGTTTAGCACCGAAGCACCATAAGCCAGCTTTCTGCCATCTCTCACAACTTGCTACTCCAAGAGATGTATGAATCTTGCCGGTGATAATTGTGCAATCTTCCGTTATCAATATTTATCAAGATATGTAGACCGAGTGTTTCTCATTTTTCAGTTATGTAAAAGAGTGTCTGGTACTGCACAAGTTTCAAAACTATAGTCTCGTGAAGTTTGTGACATAGACTGGACAAAGTCTTCACCAGTCAAATACAGCTGTGTATTTCCCAGCTGAGGCCGCCACCTGAACATCGGATCATATGTCACCAATTTCCTTTGTACTGCCAGTTGCATATTTTGCACATCACTCAACAGCATGTAAAATCAAGCTAGAAACTTCTGCAGAGTAAATAGATAAGTCATTGTGTAGATATTTGTGGTAGATAGTCTTGTACTGTACTAGTTCAAAAAATATAGTTTTGGAAGTTTGCCACATTATACGGTGCGAAGTTGACACAGATATCATGAGACTTCAAATCCTTAAGTTCAGACATCATACAAGTATCAGCTAAAATGTTACACAGAAAGACTGTATGGTGGATCAGATATTGCAAATCTCATTGGACCGTATGTAACATCTAATTAGATAATTCTGCAAAATGAATAGAGGAATCATCATGCAGATCTTCACAGCAAAGAGTCTCATACTGCGCTAGTTCATAAAATGTAGTTTCGCCAGCTTGCCATAAATACGTGGTGAATCTTACATGGGCATAATGTAGCTTCAAACCCTCAGAACATATACATAATAACACATCCATGAAAAATGTGGTGGCATCAAAATTTTATATGATTGTTTTATCGGTACAAATACAACTATGAAACATAATGTCTTAAAGAAGGTTCTCATTGGGCATGTCGAGCAGTCATCGCAACTGACATTGTGCTGGTCTTCTGAGGTCGGTAATGCGACACATTCCTGCAGCCAAATACTTGGCTGAAAAGCATCAATGTCACCGAGTTGGTGAGGTAGTCTGATCAGCTGTGATACTCACCAGTTCCACCATAACAAGAGGTTTTCTATGTCTTTTGCTGCATCCGGTGAAGAAGGAAGTTCGAAATAATCGACAATGTTGTGATAGAATTCGTTGTGGTCAAAGTCATCATCAATAATCCGCCATGCGCCGGCACTGGACAATGCAAAATGTAGCTGAATCCATTCTGTCATTAGCGAGTGATCATTATGCGAGCTAGATCCTACCTGAACAGCCGCATATGCAAGAGCCCTAGGCTGCACCAATTTCATTTGCAGGAGGCCTGCAACATCACACCGTGTGCGCCTCTCTCCTGCAGTCCTCCGACGTTTAGGGAGATGGACTTGTGAAGGTGTCTCGGCGCTAGTGTCAGGTTGCAACATTTCTGGGTCTTCTTCCGCTGAACTAGGAGACGTAAATATATGTTTGACCACCTGTGATCCATTGTCAGTACTGTGGGCATCAAACATAGGATCCTCTGATTAGTACGTACCTTCACAAGGAGTTCACCTTTGAGGAATCCTTTTGTAGGATTTATTGCGTCGTATTGTCCATCCTTGTATAGAAATGATGGCCAAGAGTATGACGTGACACAATAGTCAGGATGGTAAGAGCGAATGGCCTCTCGGACACTGTACATAATTAACAAGTTGTGCCCTTGATACAACGAGTACTCACGTAGCATCATTCCAGTTGTAATCAACAGGGCATAGTAATCTCCCTGTCACATCATGGTAGAACCCACGGCCATATTTGTCTTGACACTGAATGGAAGGGTTTGGAGTTGGAACCATCTGCATCAACCACACAGCGATAATAAACTTGAGGCTCGTAGTGTCATCTGCTCTTGCGGCATCAGCACCACGATTAAGCTAATGAAATGTAAGAGTTAATGAGCGCGCTGTTGTTGTAAGGTCTCACACCTTGCTATATAATTCGGCCAGTTCAAAGCTGTCGGCTGAGGATTGTACAAGCTTTCGCACCGAAGGGCACCATCTTAGGAGCTTCTTGTATGTTTGGTACCGTCTGTTCTCTCTAACAATAAAAATGTCAGTTCCTGTTCACATATGAAGTGTGCATGTACGTGGGGTCTGAGGATTCAAGTGCATCGGCTTCCGATATATCAGACGCACCAAGGGCAACACGTCTATCGAATTCTGCAACCATGTCATCAACACGCTCAGTGAGACACACCAGTCTTCGTATCACACGGCCTTCAAGAGCGTGATTTTTGCTGCCAATGATGTTTAGCATATAACAAGGTCAAAAATGTTGATGTATGTTGTCTTTTCACTGGCAGTTGGCATGCAAAGCTCAGCGTTCTGCTCCTCCAGGAGAGCAATACACCTTTTTAATGATAGTATCTGGGTCTCATCAGCGCAAGATGGAGCTGAGTCTGACATAGTAGAAAAGTGAAGGAAAACTGTCGCAGCATTACCACAGGCCGCGTACATATAGTACCCAGCAAACAGCAGCTGATTGCTTTGTTCAGATCCGTACAGACCGCATCAAACAAGATTCAGAGTTGCCCGTTGACCCTGGCCTTAGTAATGTTCCCCGCTTCTCTGGGAATCTAAAGTTTTTGAAAAAAAAGAGGAATGGAGGTGGACACACAGATTTACCATAGTACATCTCCGGAGCTTCACTGTTACTAGTCATGTGGAATGACTTGGGAACTGTCCCAATACAGTTTCGGTCATCTTGAACCATTCTATTGATTCAACAGCAGTAATAAGTATAGTAATACCAGCTTGGACATTGAATTTCTCAAGCACAATATACCCAATGTCCGAGTCATCAATACTCACTGACTTAGAACTTGAGATCCACCCAGATATTTCCTATCCATTGATCAATGAAATTTTGGCCGATCTTGAGAAGATGGAGCCACGAAGAGGGTGGATTAGAATTTTTCATGGTCCTATGACTTCAATGGGCATCAGAACATTAGATGACATGGAAATAATTACACCGGAATGTCTTACCGTTTTCCACCGGCTTTGCCCAGTTATGGTGATGGACTTATATGTACACATCGCCAATTGCTTCGACAAGCTTGAAGCTGGTAATCTGAAGGCTTGCAATACGAGGTGAGAGCACATCTTTGATGCTGTAGAGTAGAAATATAATACTCACGGCAAATCAACTGCATACAGAGACGCATGCCTGCAAACTGCACCTGAGTGAGTGAGGTGGAGGAGAGTGCAAGTCTGAGTAGGCATACAGCTGTCAAATTATGCAGGTGGTACAGTGTGACCACTAATGCCTTTCACCATAGCGTATACGAGGGTTTGTGGGGGTGGGGATGAGATTGGTCGAGGTCAGCGTAGTGTATTGAAAGATTTTATAGTGCTGCAGAAAGTAATTAATGTATAATGCTGTAGATCGAAGTGAAAGGAATCATACCGGTCCTTCTCCTTGTCGCGTTTATTGTCCATGTTCTTTGACAACTTCTTGCATTCCTATGGACTTTGCCGCATTGTCTGTGTCACCACTAGGTTCTGCAAGTGTCAAAGGAGCCTGTATTAGCCCTGCTCGAGATGAGGCTACCGTGACCTTGGCACATACCTCTCAAAGGGTAAAAAAGGTTGAAGAAGACTCGATAAATGAAGATACTTACCTTCCAAATTTTAGTGAGTGACTCAGTGTCGTCACTCATCTAGATTCTTCTAGTTGACTTGGTTGTGGCCCGCAGCGACGCACCTGTGACACGTCTGTGACACCGCATCTAGTACAAAATTGTGCTCGGCCGATAATACAATATCAATATGGTGAGAATGACATATGTAAAAAGGATTTGAAAAATGATAGTCACAGAGCTCAGCACTGGTGATGCCACCCTGAATAGTATCATTTAAATCTGATGGCGGCATTAAACAAAATGAGACAAAGTTCATCGAATGTTTGAAGAAAGTTTTGAAATGCAAAATCACGGCACAAGCCATACTGCATGGAGTATTCAAGTTGTCCACAAGGTCTGTAGTAGAATGTAAGGTCCGGTATGATTCAAATACATGTGCTTTCCAAGAAGAAAGCCACGAACATGTCGTTCAATTCCTGCCCTTCAGACTTTAATGATGCTGCTGAGGCACTCTTGATAAATTTTCAGGCTGGCAGCACTACTCCATCGAGTCACGGCGAGAACTGCAACAGGGGAGGTGGAACTGGGCAAGGTGCCCCTACCTATTCTTGTGGATGTTATAATTACCATAAATTGCCGCGCTATCAAGCTCAGGCCGAAGCCACAGACCTACTAGACAAGGCACCCAAGGCTGATGTTGCAGATGAGCTTCAAGATGAATTGGACTTTGCATCCAAACTCAAACTCGTATGTAGTCAGATCAAATACATACGGTAGTCATCCTCATCATACTCATTTGTAGGATATTCAAGCCTGGAAATCTTGGTGTGCAAGTCAGCTACTGCTTACTCCGACTTGGCAGAAGAGAAGGTGCTCTGAATCTGACTTCATTCAAGTTGAAGAACACACTCAGGCTGTCACGGTAAGTCGTACTACTCAGGATTGAATCAACCTGACCCACTGACAACTGCAAACAGCCTCGGTGCTACTTTGACCATGACCTTTTCAATGGACAGCAGGGGGCAGCACCAGCAGCCCTGGGAGCGCCACAGAAATGGCGGAAGTTAGCACGTGCATTGGAGTTTGAAGCTCCGAGTCTGAGTCTGTCTGTAGCTGAGGCACTGCTGAAAGTTGCGGGAAGGATTGAAGCAGCAATCAATAGGCAAACCGAACTTCTTTCGTCGATACTGAATGCTATGGAATGTCAGGGAGGTAATACTAGCAATTAGCATATGCAGAATATCATCAAAGTGTTCCATTGTACTTGGAAGTACGCGTGTTGAACTGATAGTCACTGGGACTTGATCAGCTGCAAGGGCGTTCCTGTTAGTGTTTATGCAATTACACCGCCTAGAATGTCACTATTCGAACGCAATAGAGATGATAACTTTCTTGACATCCGTGTGAAGTGTATAACCCATCACAGGGCTTATACATTAGCGAGTCAGGACGTGGAAACCTGCTTCTTCTTCCGGCTAGAGCGATGAGGGCGATCACTCGAAACAGAGGGTGGGTGAGGAGGTGCGAATGATGACGAAGAAGTAGATGGTATGGATGAATGTGCAGGGTGGTTTATCCGGCTGGAACGATGAGGCTGCGAACCCAGGACCACGGCTGGAGAAGAAGGCGAAGAAGCTGATGGACTGGTAGATGGCATCGGCAGTGAAATCTGAGGACTCGGAAAATTGTCGATGTTGTCCAGCCCCCGTTGTATGATCTCACAAATTTGGTTGTGAGAGACATCCTTACTGTTCATTATTGCATCTCCAATTGCCATGCGCCAGTCCTCAAGGATGGGACGGCAAGCTTGGAAATACGGTGCAGGCTCGAAACCCGGGGCTTTGTCCATTAGAAATTCTTTCTTGAGGGTTCCGCTAGTCCCGAGACCGTCTTTGTCCATCGTCACGTAGACTTTATGCCATCTATGGGCATTCTCGGGAGGCACCTCCCTGTTTGTCGTTAGGCCGCCAGGTCCATTGTATATAATCATAAATTTGAGGAGAATGTAGAAGAGTGACTCGAGGTCATCAGAGGCCTTGTGGTCGATTGAATCAGGAGTCGGAATGCCTCCCATCAGCTTGAGAAGGTGGCAGGATATGTATGGTATCGTTCCCTTCGAACATCGATATTAAGAATGAAGAATACAAAATATATCAATTTCAAACTTACTGTTCCACGCGAATCCTTTGCTTTATTGTTCAGTTGGATGAATTTGGCGTGGTCAAAGTCGATAAAGTAGCCTTTTCCCCTGTATATGATGAGGTTGTTGGGACTGAGATCTCCATGAAGAACCCTCCACTCCATCATCATCGTTTTGTGGGCTACTGGTATCTTCCAGCATCAAAATCTTTGATAAATACCAGGGGAACTCACCAACAACAAGGTCAAGAAAAACATTGACCAGCTCAGGTACAGACTTGAAGTTGGTTAGTGGGAGTCCACAGGGTGTCAAAAGCATGCAACGGTGAATCTTGTTGGTGAATATTGGTGAATCTGGGAGGTGATCGCGGACATGGTCACAAATGTTTGATGTGCTGTCAATGTGCCCATCGTACTCAATGTCCCAATACTTCACTAGCTGGACCACATTTGGAACGCCATCAACCGCCCTGAGAAAGTTGACCTCCTGCTCTATTATGTCTGCATCTACCCAACAGTCCTTCAATGCATACTCCCACTTATTCTTGTCCTGGACATGATAACAAACGGTTCCACGTGAAAAAAGACCGCAACTTTTCCACAGATTAGCCATAATCCAATACACCTCACCTACATCGTCTGTAACCCAACCTATCGCTCCGATTGGCATGGCATCAACCCCCTCCGGTAAATTATCATGAGCAGTAGTGGAGCAAAGGGTATTGCAAACGTGAATGGTGGGATCGAAACCGAGAGCAGAGTGACTTGCTAGTGTCATCGTGTTTAAGACATCGGCGAAACGTACAGCATCACGGCCAATTAAGATAGGTGCCGATATGATCATTCCAGAGCAGTCCAAGTAATGTGCACAAAGCTTCAAGTTCGCAATACTGAAAAGAAGAATGAAATGACACCACGGTTGTTCGCGCATCATAAGGTAGCCTTTGGTTGCAACCCCCAAGAATATTGGCATGCCCTTTCCCTCCGCCAGTTCTGAGATGGTGATCTCTACTCCTGTCAGAACAACTGCCCAACTCTTCTCCTTCCCACTGCTCTTCTTCAGTCTATAGTCCATAAGGACTAAATCAGGTTTCTGGGAATCAGTGGGATCTGGAATGGCAATGGTAGAGAACTCTGAAGACCAGTATCGCGGTTCCAGTAGAACGTGGAAGGGCAGTGAGCCCAACTTGGCTTTGACCTTGTCATGTGTGTCGTAGTAGACGCTTCTGAAGAGGTGCTCCCAATTCTTCTCTTCCGCCACCTTTACAGCCATGATCAGATGTTTTTCTCCAGTCTGATACAATTTTTGCGACCAGCTGCCATCCATCTCCATCATATCTTCGCCTACACTAAGGTCTTCATCTGCCTCCCCCTCCACCTCTGTATTGGTCTGCAATTCCTGCTGGTTCCTTTTCGTCTTTTTCAGCGGACCAGAGAAGGGATGAGTGAGCCTCCATTGCGGGCGAGTGATACCCCGTGGATTTAGCAATATGGATGAACCGTATAAGATAAAATCATCCTTCTTCTTGATGTACCTAATGTCATGTAAATCTTGAATTTTTAGACTGGATTTTGGAATAAGGATATCGAGGATAGATGATGTACGGCTTTGTATGCCCTCCTCCCACAGAACTCGTTTACCACCCATTATATTGCCATCTGGACCCACTAAAAGTTCGTGCTTCATCAACAGGTCCATGTCCTCCTGTTTCCGATGTGTAAAGTCGCCACTGGCGGGGATGGATGTAGTAACTGTGGCAAGGAGATAGCTGAACACGAAGGATGTTGATGCCGACATCATAATGATTGAGTGAGTGCAATGCCTTAGTACTATAGCAACCGTGCTTGGGCCTTTGCTGAATCGCTTTGAGCCGCACAAGAGCCACGTGTTGATTCTTTCTGATCAAAGATTTACCTAGATCGAGAACAGAATGCTATGAAATTTTCGATCAGGGTCTAATTACTGTCGGCCTTTTGACCACCCAGGGCCAGGAGGAGAGCTTCCTAAATGCTTCCCCTCGAATTAGAAAGGGAGATCTTTTCTATTGCTAGTAATGACTCCACACGAATGGCCTGCTCTTTCCTCCTTGTTTCTTGGACGGTACATTACTGGTGAGTCCCTCATCTTATGTTCGGCTGAGGAGAGCATTTACTCAGTACTACTACTGCGGCAGGATCGAAAAACTTCTGTATCATACAATTGTTCTACCAAATGAAAATGTCGCCACCCGCTTTCTGTCATCGGTTTACTCTCAGCCTCACCCCCACAATTTCGCTCACCAGGCTGTAAAATCTTTGTGCTTGAAGGGGAACATATGTGTGAGTATAGCTGCAGAGATCATTTCACTCCGCAGAGGTACTGTGAACCTGGCGCTATGGATAGGCCCATCTGATTTGGACCAAAAAACAAATCCTCTCCTCAAGCCCTTAGATGAGCTCGCACTGACATCACTCTCGCTCAGCATATCATTGTTATTCAGTCACACTCCATCTTTCTCACTTTCCACACTTCAAGTCTTTCGTTCTCTGACGCATCTGGAGATTCTCAATCGCTGGATGCTGTGGAGTTCTACAGTGGGTTTGGAGCATCTTCATGGACTGACACATTTGTGCCTGCATATTCACACACAGAGGACCAAGCCAGGATTGGTGATACCCCTTCTCGCCATCCGTGCATCCGAGTACTGGTTTTCCGCATCTCGGAAGGCGTTGATGCAGTGCGAGCATTCCTTGAATCCAATCTGCTCAGCGACTTTCGCATTGTCCTGGTATCTCAAGATTTCACTAGCCATAGTGATTTTGGACATGGGGACATATCATTTCTCTGGACGGACGCCAAGAAAATAGTAGATTGGAGGCGGGTTAGCCAAGGTATGTCTTTCATCACAAGTATGCTATAGCCAGCTCACCACATCAGCAGAAGGGCCTTTTAGTGTACCAGGCCCCATAAGAGATATTGAATGTGAGCATATTTTTCCGCTGTATGATTGATGCTGAGACTGGGACCAGAACTCTACAACACTCAAATTGACAAGGTGCCTCTCAATGTCGCGTGAGTATTGTACTGCAGGATTGATTGTATCTGAGCTCTGACAGTTACTTTTCCAGTGATCGCGTTTAGCTTCTCTTATAGGTCAGACTGTTATGATGCCACTCCGAAATTGTTATGTCCATTCTATGATCACAACATTTTCTTGACAGTATTCCATGTAAAATGTTTCAGGTCTGCCAAGTAAATATTTGTACTTTTATTTTAGCTGCATGCATATTGCACCTGTCCTTTCTACACGTTGCACTGCACTTACCCCCGTGATACGGCTTCCTGAGAGACAATAGCCGGGTTTAAAGGAGTGACCGCCGTGCACCTGGTGCCAGGGGTCTTGCTATGTGCCAGGCGTGACTCAGACCACTCGGATCCTACTACTTTCCTGCGCTTTGTCTTTCCTCTAGCATGAAGAGGTCATGAAATTTATTCTGAAGCATTGGGCATCTTTTCTGCTGGTCTTCACTTTAATGAGCACTCACTTCATATGTGGAAGAGAATGTAGCCGATCATTCACAGGACCGAGTGGCTTGACCCATCATCGTCAGAACTGCAAGCACTGGAAGAATCAGTTGAATCTGCAGTCCCAACATTTCAAGCATATATCGACATCTATGCAGGAAGCTCCTACTGCAAAGAAAATAAAGCTCAGTGTTGCCCAGGTAAGTAAGTTCAGCATGCTTTGATCCCTGCTTATTTAGAGATGAATAGCCAACCCCTGCCTCTACTGGCAGCTTTCCACTTGCAAACGTCATAGCGTCCGAGTCTTTTGATAGCCCTGTGCCTCAGTCCACCACCAGCATTGAGGGAGAGGCCTCGTCTAGTACCTCGGCATGTAATGCCCCACAAGACCCAGAGCCTGAGGCCGGTACATCAACTCACACTCGAGACGTGGAGATGCAGCGGGAATGTGGAGCTGTCCCTACCTCTAGACCCTCTAGACTGCATCGGCAACCTTTACGATTCAGAGATGAACTTCCAGTACCTCCACCTGCCGTTGAAGAACCACCTCCAACGGCACTTCATCACGTCATTCTTCATGTTTTTGATTCTTTTCGGACATTGCTCAATAAATTTGGGATTGGAAGGGAGTATCGCCACCGTCCATCATATGACCCGGATGCCTTTGTTTCTGTCAACCAGCTATCTAACATTCCGTCCGATCCCCAATCCGTCAGTGAGCCAACCTCGGGCCACCATTCAACTGGCAATCCACTTCCATCGCAGTTGCCCCCTTGGCCATGGAAAAATATGAGCATCTGGCATCTCATGACATGGAAGATGACCAGTACTAGCGGGTTGACATCTGAAGCCCAGGTCACCCACCTCGTTAGCGACATATTGAAGGCCAAGGATTTCAGTATTGGTGATCTACCAGATAATTTAAACATTCACACAGAAACGATGCGCTTTGACGCCTCTGATGGAACACTGGACCCCAACGGTATCTTCCAAAGAGATGGCTGGAGGGAGTCAGCTGCTGAATTATTAGTTCCAACCGGGGAGAAGAACGCAGATGGAAACGGGCAATTATTTACTGTACCAGGTTTTCATCACCGTCCACTTGTAGCAGTTATTCGTGCTGCCTTCTCAGAGGCGTCATCATGCTGGTTTCATTTCACTCCGTTCAAATGCTTCTGGAAGTCACCTTTGACTGGTCAAGAGCAGCGAGTATATGACAAACTCTACACATCAGATGCCTGGAACAAAGCTCACGACGAGCTCCAGAAACAGAAGAGGGATGGCAACTGTAAATTGGAGTGGGTAATCACCGGACTGATGTTCTGGTCCGATGCGACACACTGTTACGGCTGTGTTTATCTTGCTTCTTTTTCCCTTGATACACGCTTACTACACATGTCTCTTATCATGCTATATTTAGTTCGGTATTACTCAGACGCCTCATTGCTTACGCATGTGCTTACTGATACATACCTATTATTACGTCATACCCTGTACCCTCTGAACTATATAAACCCTGGCTAGGTGACGCTGATTCTTCAGCTTAACCTACGCTGGTTTTCCTCTGAACATCTGACTTGATTCTAAGTTACCTCTTCGGTACTTAGTCTTGACTTGACTTTGGGCGTTCTTAAGACTGTTGTCTTGAACGTATCGACAGACCTTTGGTCTTATTGATTATTGTTTTGCCTGCGTTATACTTCGGCGTAACAAAAGGTTAAGCTCTATCACAAGACGACGCTACCTTAGTAGTCGTCACGATACATCGTGGCTTATCACGATCAACGACAGTACTCCTCGGAGTCTGAACACGAAGAAGAACACTTCTCTGAACCTGGTTCACCTATTCAACCCGATAACAACGAGTACATAGACAGATACGGACCAGATCAACCAGGTCCATCGAACCCACCACCACCACCTCAGACTCCATCTGAACCCATACCTAGAAAGAAAATGGGAGAACTCAACTTGAACAGACCGGCAAACTTTGACGGATCGCAGAAACAGGCGAAAGCCTGGTGGACGACTGTATCCACCTACATTACCATCAATAAAGACGTGTACGACAACCACGAAAAATGCATCGCATTCGCAACGTCTTTTATGACCAAGGGACACGCCCAACAGTGGGCCACTGGATGGATTAATAGAAAACATGACACCGCTACCCCAATGGGAAAATGGGACGAATTCATCACCGAATTCAAATCAGTATTCTTCCCTAAGAACGACACCCTTACCGCTGTCAACGTAATGATGAAAGCGAAACAGACTTCCACCATTTCGGCATACATCGCCTATTTCAAGCGAATCTCGGCAGAAGCCCGATGCACAGACTCAGACGTCGAAACAACATGTTTCAGACAAGGACTTAGAAAAGAAGTCCAAGAAGCAATTCTCATGAGAGAAAAAATGCCTAGCACCATCAAAGACTGGATTGATGCCGCTAGAGAATACGAATCCAGAAGGCTTCTTATGAGTTCTGCAGGAGGCTTCTCGAAGAAGAATGACCCGTACGCAATGGGCATAGACAAGATCGACATCAACGAAGAAGAAGAAACAACCACAGTTCGCAACGCGCAACTTTCTAGATCCAAACAAGACAGATGTCGCAAATTAGGACTCTGCTTCAAGTGTGGGAAGAAAGGGCTTATGAAAGATTGCCCTAACCACAGAGAATCTGCCCCCGGTTGGCAGAAGCCGGCCGGACGACCAGTCCGCGAGACTAAGATCGAGCAAGACAATCAAGACGCAGAGTATCAGGAATTCCTTGCTTGGAAAGCTTGGAAGGCGTCGAAAGCACCTTCTTCTTCTAAGAAGGATTTCTAAATGGGGAGACCGGACCGGCGTCGGAAACCCCTAGTACATCTATCGGACTCATTGTATCTTCTGTAGGCGATTCGAATTCTATGCGCATTCCTATTTCAATCGAATCCTGCAAGTCCGACAAAATCGCCGAAGCAGCAGCCCTAATTGATTCGGGCGCCGCTGGAACATTCATTGACTGGAAATACGTACGAAAGAACAATTTCTCAACTCACAATCTCTCTTCACAAATCGAAGTCCGGAACGTGGATGGAACGAAGAATAAAGCAGGAACCATTAATAAAGCCTGCAATCTATTCTTCTCAGCAGGTGGTCGAACTATGTTCGCTACCTTCCTTATTACCTCCTTAGGAGGCGAAGACATCACCCTCGGACTTCCCTGGCTCAAAAATGAAAATCCAACAATAGATTGGGCTAAGAGCGAAATCTCGCTAGAAGAAGACCCAATCATGATTCAAACCCTTATCGCAGATAGAAGCAAACATGCTTCTATGCAACCAAGAATAGAAGAAATCGAAGACGAAGAAGCATATAAACCCTCGGAAGAAAACCCCGAGGAGCAACCAGAACTTCTACCCGAAGAAGACGAAGAAGAAGAGCAACAAGAAATAATAGAAGAACTACAAGATGACGAAGTTCTTATCGCTTACGTTAAAGGAGAAGCATTCGTGGGAATGTACGAGAAAATTGATTTCGACTCACCACTCACGCAAGAACACATCCCCACTACCTTCTCTTTCGTATCTCGAACAAACAGAATCTCGAAAGTCCCTAACTCAGCTCGATTCATGTTCTCTCCTCTTCCCATACGAAAGGCTGCTAATGTCACTCAACAACTGGCACAAGAAGCATACGCAAAATAAAAGCCAAAGACATTTGAAGAACTCGTACCTGAAGTCTTCCACATGTACAAAGACGTCTTCAACAAAGCAGCCATGGATACCCTACCCCCGTCTCGACCCTTCGACCACAAGATAAAACTGAAACCAGACTTCGAACCACGCTCCTGCAAAATCTACCCATTGTCTGCACCGGAAGAAAAAGCGATGAATGAATTTGTAGACGAACATCTGGCGAAAGGGACTATCGTACCATCTCAATCCCCACAAGCATCTCCTTTCTTCTTCGTAGGAAAGAAAGATGGATCTCTTCGCCCATGTCAGGACTATAGAAGACTCAACGATGCAACTGTTAAGGATGCTTATCCACTTCCTCGAATTCCCGACCTCATCGACAAGCTAAAAGGTGCAACAATCTTCACGAAGATGGATGTACGCGCAGGATATAATAACATTCGAATCCATGGACCAGACAGATGGAAAGCCGCATTCAAAACGTCAAGAGGACTCTTCGAGCCAACAGTTATGTTCTTCGGTCTATGCAATGCTCCAGCAACATTCCAAGCAATGATGAACGATATTTTCTCCGACATGATAGACGAAGGTTGGATGGTCATTTATATGGACGACATCTTAATCTTCTCCAAAGACCTCGAATCCCATCACGAACGAACAATGCGAGTACTACAACGACTTCGTGATCACCAACTCTCTCTCAAACCCGAAAAATGTGTCTTTGACACCACTGAAGTTGAATATCTTGGACTCTTCATCCGTCCCGGACAAATCTGTATGGACAAAGTCAAACTAGACGGAGTCGTCAAATGGGAACAACCAACGACCGTTAAACATGTTCGATCGTTCTTAGGATTCGCCAATTTCTACCGTCGATTCATTGCTGACTATTCTACTATCGCGCGACCACTCATTGACCTTACGAAGAAAGACATCATCTTTGATTGGTCGCCAGCATGCGATAAAGCGTTTAATGACCTGAAGAACCGCTTCCTCTCCGCTCCCGTACTTTCCATCCCTGACAAAGACGCACCTTTCGCAATTGCCGTTGACGCATCCCTCTATGCTACCGGAGGAGTACTCCTTCAAAAAGACTCTAATGGTGACTGGCATCCTTGTTCCTACCTATCACAAACCTTCTCCCCAGCTGAACAGAACTACCAAATCTTTGATCGAGAACTATTAGCCATCATACGAGCATTGGAAGCTTGGCGTCATTACCTTGAAGGTTCCCCATTCCCAGTCCTTGTCATGACGGACCACAAGAATTTGACTTACTTCCGCCAAGCCCAACAACTTAATCGTCGACAAGCTCGTTGGCTCCTGTTCCTTTCTCGATTTGACCTTCAACTCCAACACGTACCTGGCAAAGACCTTTCCGTTCCTGATTCCCTATCCCGCAGACCTGATCATATTCCTATTGACGCTAAGGACAATTCCGATGTCACAGTCCTCCCTGACGGACTATTCATTAACCTCATCGACAGTTCTATGCAGGAGAAACTCCGCATTTCCTCCTCAGTAGATCCCGTAGTTCAGCAAACTATCGATGCCCTTTCTAATCCCTCCCTACCCCTCCCTATGAAATCAGCACTCTCGGACTGGACCTTTTCCGACGCTATTCTTACCTTCAAAGGACGCAACTACGTTCCCCCGGGTCCATTACGGAAAGAATTGATCTCTTTGCATCATGATTCCCCTACTGCCGGCCACCCTGGTCGCTTTAAGACTCAAGAAATCCTCTCTCGTGACTACTGGTGGCCAGGCCTTCCCACCTTCGTTCGCAAATATGTCGAAGGTTGTGCTATCTGTCAACAGAATAAAGTCAACACTCATCCTACGACACCGCCACTTTGCCCTATTCCCGCCCCCACTTCATCCCGCCCCTTTGCCCAATGCTCCGTTGACCTCATCGTTGACCTCCCTCCATCGAATGGTTTCAATTCTATCATGGTCGTGGTAGACCATGGGCTTATGAAGGGGGTGGTACTCACGCCTTGCAACAAGACGATCGATGCAGAAGGAGTCGCCGACGTATTCTTCAACCGCGTCTATACACGCTTCGGACTCTATGACAAGATCATCTCTGACAGAGGACCTCAGTTTGCAGCCAAGTTCGCACAAGAACTAGGACGACTTCTCGGATACAAAATCGCACTATCTACCACCTTTCACCCTCAAACTGATGGAGAAACTGAACGAGTAAATCAAGAACTAGAAGTGTACCTCCGCATCTTCTGCGCAAACAACCAAACCTCATGGTCAGAAAAACTTCCCATGGCAGAATTTGTACATAACTCCCGACATCACTCTGCACATAATGCTTCTCCCTTCTATCTCATGATGGGATACCATCCCCAAGCGTTACCATTGGCTACCGAGAAATCGGACCTCCCAGCTGTCGAAGCGAGAATATCAGAACTCCAGAAAGCTCGAGAAGAAGCCTTATCTTCACACGAACTCGCTAGACAAACCATGAGGCAAAGAATCACTCGATCATTCACACCCTTCAAGAAAGGCGACAAGGTTTGGCTAGAAGCAAAGAACCTTCATCTCAATTACCCCAATAGGAAACTAGCACCCAAGAGAGAAGGACCTTTCACTATCTCGGAAGTCCTTGGACCAGTCACATATCGCCTAAAACTCCCGAGCCAATGGCGCGTTCACCCGGTATTCCACGCAGCGCTTCTTACTCCTTATCGCAAAAATGAAGAACACGGCCCTAATTTCCCGTCGCCACCTCCTGACCTAATTGACGGAGAAGAAGAACACGAGGTAGAAGCCATCCTCGGACATAAAGGAACTCTCTCACGACGACGCTTCCTTGTCAAATGGAAAGGTTACCCATCGGCCGATAATGAATGGTTATCGGAGTCTGATTTAGCCAACTCCACTGAAATCTTGAACAGATATAAGCAGGCACATCGACTCATTCCCCTCTCAACTCGAACCATCATCACTAAACCATTCAGACCATGCCCTCTACCGGTGGACGTAACTACATCTCCTCCAGCGACGAGGATATAAACCTCGTCATCACACACAACAGTGCCCCGAATGTTCCGATTCCAAATCTTAGATTCCCCGTCTTCTCTCCTCGTCCTCACTACATGACAATCAGTCAGAGGAACTCTCCCGAACCCCCTCGTCCGACATCTCCCTTACTGCCGTCGGGACAATCGTCCCCGTATCAAATATTTAACGAACCAGTAATCCCCACATTCATTGATACCCCTGCCAGCCCCATCACTATCCGTAACCGTGAGTGTATTGCAGCTCGTCGACGAGCAGCTCCTTGGAGAGTAGCGACTGACTCCTACTTGTCCGATCTTGAAGATTGTAGACTTCATTGTAGGATCATGTTGTCGTCCAAACTCTTCAAAAACCCCATCAAAGACGCTATCGACACAGAGCCGGCTCTTAACGCCCTCTATGATCTCTACCGCCTCGGAGATCGTCTCGAAAACACCTTGGAAAGGCACAATGCCGAGTACAGAGAAGACGAACTCTTCTCTCTCGACTATAGCATTTGAGACATCAAAGAGAAGCTTCAACAATTGACGTTGATTCTTATGGAGGAAAGAGGTTTCTTTGAAGTCCTTGATGGACTTGGAGGAACTGAGGACGATAGGCATCGTGGTCTTGAGTGAAAGTCTGGGACTTTCCACGTAAGAAGGGGGTGATGTTATGGCTGTGTTTATCTTGCTTCTTTTTCCCTTGATACACGCTTACTACGCATGTCTCTTATCATGCTATATTTAGTTCGGTATTACTCAGACGCCTCATTGCTTACTGATACATACCTATTATTATGTCATACCCTGTACCCTCTGAACTATATAAACCCTGGCTAGGTGACGCTGATTCTTCAGCTTAACCTACGCTGGTTTTCCTCTGAACATCTGACTTGATTCTAAGTTACCTCTTCGGTACTTAGTCTTGACTTGACTTTGGGCGTTCTTAAGACTGTTGTCTTGAACGTATCGACAGACCTTTGGTCTTATTGATTATTGTTTTGCCTGCGTTATACTTTGGCGTAACACACACTTGACCCAGTTTGGGAATGCTTCTGCATGGCCAATATATCTTTTCTTTGGAAACCGATCAAAATACATGCGTGCATGCCCGACTACCAATGCCTGCCACCCAATCGCATTTATCCCTTCTGTAAGCTTTACATCCTTCCCATCTGAAAATTCTAATGTGCTTCATCTCTAGCTACCAGAATCCATTGTGCGCTTCATTAGCACGTTCATCAAGAAGAAGAACATCAGAGACATCCTCGCTCATTGCAAACGTGAACTTTTCCATGCGCTTTGGCGCATCCTGTTGGATGATGAGTTTGTTGATGCGTATAGGAACGGTGTCGTGATCAAATGCCATGACAGAGTGTATCGACGAGTCTTTCCGAGGATTTTTACTTACTCTGCAGATTACCCAGAAAAGTGAGCTCATTTATTGTGTCGTTTTCCATATCTTAACTGACGATTTTCAATAGAGTACTTCTTGCAGCTATTCGTGACAAAGGAGACTGTCCATGTCCTCGGTGTTTTCTGCCAAAATCACAATTTGATCGGCTTGGTCTCAAGGCTGATATATCAGCTTGCATCAACAGTGTGCGCCTGTATCTCAGAGATAAGATCATTGTGGCGCACGATGCTATATACAAACTAGGTGCTCCAATCAAGGGTGCCGCAGCTGAGCATCTTTTGAAGGATTTCTCACTTGTGCCAACCCTCGTAAGCAAGTTTCTCTATTGAAGTTTTGAATGATTTGAATATACTTTGTCCTTAGAATGCCTTCATTGAGCGGCTTGGGCCTCTAGGCCTAGATTTATTTCCCATACTCGTAGTTGATCTCTTGCATGAGTTTGAGCTTGGAGTCTTCAAATCCGTCTTCAAGCATCTTTTAAGGCTGCTCTATACTATTAATCATGAATCAGTGACTTTACTGAATGAACGGTATGTGCTTGTTAGCGCAGCAGTCATCACCTGATACTGACAATCCCTCAATATTAAGATTTCGCTTAATTTCGTCCTTCGGCAAAGGTGCCATTCGACGTTTCCCTTCAGATGTATCTGATATGAAGTGGAGAGCTGCACGAGATTTTGAGGACATCTTACAGGTGAGTCTGATTTCTATCGTTCTTGAATTTAATCTTGATCGGCTTTTGTTGCCAGTGCGCAATTCCAGCATTCGAGGGTCTATTCCCAACGAAGCACGATGAAATTGTCCTGTGTTCTTCTATTTCGTCTGGTGGAATGGCATGCCCTTGCCAAGCTTCGAATCCACACCGACAATTCACTCGACCTACTTAGTGAAGCTCTTAAAAACTTAGGAAAACAGCTTCGAAGATTTCAGGACTCCACGTGCTCAATGTTTCAGACGGTGGAGCTTCCAGGCGAAATCAGTGCCTGCCATAGGAGGAATGCTAATCTAAACTCGACAACCGCAGGAATAGGGACATCTGGAGCTCGCGCTAAGTCCTTCAATATCCGAACTTACAAGTTGCATGCACTCGGTGACTATGTAAGCTCTATCAAAATGTTTGGAACAACTGACTCGTACACAACTCAAATAGTACATATGCATCTTCATGGAGTGATCCTTTTACTAACTTTGTCCAGGGCGAGCTTGCGCACAGGCTCTTTAAAATGCTCTACTGAAGTATGAATAAGCAAGAACATTTGAAGCAATTAGCAAAGCAGGAGAGGAGACTTACTCGAATTCAACATCTGCAAGAATCTGTGGTCACCAGTGACAGCAAGCCCGTCGGAGACTTACCGCTCGAAGCTCACCATTGCTTAGCAAGCTATTCAGGTGTCACTGTCAATTTAGCCCACTATCTTGAACAACACCGTGGTGACCCCACTATCTTAGTAAGCTGTGTTCACATGTGATGGTTTTGACTCTTTCCTTAATATCATCTGACAGAACTTCGTTCCCAAACTCAAAGACCACCTCCTTTCCTGCTTACTGTGTTTGGACTATGACGGCAATGAACAAGACTTTACGGATGCGGAACGAAATGACGTGCGCTTCATCAACAATCTCAACAGCGTCTTCCATCCTAAACGATTTCGAGTCAATTATACAACATATGACATCCGCAGGGATCAAGATACGATGAGACCTGGACGTGGCTCCACAGTGATGACATTATCGAGGGAAAACTAGTGCTGGTTCACACCCATTTTGGTATGCACGAGTACTGGGTTCATTTTGTTTGAATGTTCTGCATGTTGGCCCTAATGCTCAGTAGTCGGTCACCCCAGACCATGGAGGTCTTGTGGGTTCGATGGTTTGGTGTGGTGCCACAATACCGCTGGGGCTTCCAAGAAGCCCGCCTCCCCAAAATCGGATTCATTCCCAAGTCACCTGGCGCCTTTGGATTCCTGGACCCGTCACTTGTGATCAGGGCAGTGCCACCTGATCCCTGCCTTCACTGACCTTTGCACAGACAACCTACTTCGACACGGTCCTTCTGCTGCAAGACTGCCAGGTGAAACAGATGACTGGGCTGCATTCTATGTTAATATGTGAGATTCATCTTGATTCATTCTGACCTCGACTCACTTGTGTAGCTTTGCTGATAGGGACATGTTTTGTCGTTTCGCAGGCATAGGCGTTGGCCATGCAGTTCAATACGAATGGAGTGGAAGCACCACTATTGGTGTTAGTTGTGGAGAAACCTCTGATGATGATGAACCTGGAGATGTGGATGAACGCTGCGATGAAGATGGGTGTGATGACTCAGTAGAAGACCCAGATGGTCACGGTGAACATCACAATATCACTGAGGATGATGACGAGGATGAGGACAAGAACGATGATGACAAGGACGAGAACGAGAACGATGATGACGAGGATGAGGACGATGATGACAGGACAGACTTCAGATGATGGTGCCGGTGACAGTGATGAGTGTAGTGACTCCGAGGATGAGGGGTCTAGTACTAGTAGATTCAAGTTTTGATGGTGCTCGCACTCTACTTTCTTCATTTATTCACTCATACATTAATGCTCTCAAGTATTTCGTACTTTGCCACACTCAATCCAACTTCAGTGTTGTCAACATTTCAACAGTTCCACTTGCCTGTGATTCGGAATCAAGGACTGACGCTAGCACGAACCGTGCTCGACTTGCGAATAGATCCTTTTGTTCATGGTCAATTGTATACAGCGTTATTGATAGTAAGAACGCGAAGAGACACATTGTGCTTATTTTCAGAGGCAAATGAAGAACAATATTGTATTTCCCAACTTGCCAACCGAAGGCGAGTCCTCATATGCTATATTGCAATACATTGATTCCCGTACATTTGCGTCGAAACCAGCAAGATATCTGATAAAGGGATACATACGAATTATATTCAAATCTACAAAATTCTATCTAGTAGTCAAAGCATCGAAAGCATGCACCATGTTATATGTTCTAGCTGCGATGATTGACATAGGCAGTGGGTTAATATGTCGTTTTTTATTTGACAATGTCATCACATCTTAGAAAGTAACTGTACTCATCATACAATGGCGACAGTTAGTGATAATCTGTGGGCGGGTACCATAGTCATGACCAGTGTTGCCAGTGAGATATAATATGACTATATAGCTAGGTATTTTCTGCAGGAAATTGTAACATGAAATCGTTCAGGCCAGGAACAGTAGAAATCATGAGTATCTGCGTGTCTCTCAATACATCATTATAATTGCTTATGAAGTGCTGCATGCAGGGAGAATATTATCAAAGCGCGACAGTATGGCACACTATTATATTCCATTATACTAGCATGTCATCGCCACACAAAATTGGATAAGATTGTCATTTACATATTGTCATATCATGCTATGTGAAATTTAGTGATGCACGCGCCATGAGTGTTCGTTTGCAGAGTCTCTCAGGCAAGTCGGTCGGCGGCTCCTATTTCACTCTCCGCAACACGAATGCACGTCAAACCTTACTTGACAGTTTATTCCAGTTTATTTTGTCCTGCTCGCTCAAAAAAATAAACTGGCGAAATAAACTGTTATTGAGTAGGGTTAATATTTATAGAGCCTAGTACCTTGTGTGTGTACTTACATTATAGGCCTTAAGTAAGCTTGACTGACAACCATTAACCGAGTCCAATCAATATTCTAACATTCATCACTTACTACGAGGCTGATTGGGAAAGCATGATGGCAAATGACGATCTGGGGTATGATCCTACTATTATGCTCGGCATTGTGGTATCTACTGTACTGAATAACCGTGCTGTAGGGTAGAGGACTTGCCAGACAATTTAACACCCTTTATTACTCAGACAACTATGGACCACGTTAGCGGAGGTGCATATGGCGATGTCTGGAAATGCAATTACAATGCAGATGGTATTTCAGCCCTCGTTAGTCCATGTTGAATACATTTACCATGCAACTGGCTGATGCTGGTTGATCGATCAGGTGGCGGTCAAGGCCTTCAGGTTTTCAGAGGGGGACATTTTGGAGACAATCAGCAGGGTGAGTGATACCTACAAGAATTGTATCATATAGCCATGCTAATGCTACCTGGATCATCCAGAAAATCAGCCGAGAAATCAGCATTTTGAAGATTCTCCGTCATAACAACATTGTACCATTGTGGGGTATAGCGACAGGATTTGGACGGATGCTAGACTTGCCCTGCTTGATGCCAAACGGCACGTTGAATGCCTACCTACAGTCTAAACACAGTGATTTAATAGTTCTGGATTGTTCACGTATGGTGAGCAAAAATCTCATTTTCGCCTTTCGAGACTTAGTTGAAATTGGAAGTTGGAGGATGTCAGCGCTGGCCTTCGCTACTGTTAGTTTCCATTTCCCATCTTAATATGTTTGAATGGTGACCTACCTTTGGTATAGTGCACTCGATACCAGTCATGCATGGAGATATAACAGGGGTGAACTCAGTGCTGCTGAGGTACTTACTCTTGAAAACTAATGAGCCTACAGGCAAATATCCTAATTGACAAGAGAGGTCATGCGCAGCTGATCGATTTTGGTCTTTCCACCATTGTTCAACCTCTTCTCAGCCAGTCGCACTTGGAAATATCATCCATATGTCCAGGTGCAATCCGTTATGCAGCACCAGAATTCGTTTTATCCGATGATGCCCTTGAGCTACCTTTGGAGAAAGCTGACATCTACTCTTTTGGTTGTATAATGCTTCAAGTCAGTTGTTGGTTTGACCACGAGATGTTCGCCTAAGGACTGACTGAACAGGTTCTCTCGGGTCGACTGCCTTGGTCTGAGATCGGATCGGGTCGGCTGATAATGTGCATCATTGTTACAATGTCGCAAAGGCATGGACTGCAACGCCCCGATGGTCACCCAGCAATAATCGACCCAGATTGGGACTTCATCCAAAGGTGTCTGCAATTCGGACCTGAACTTTGACCTTCAGCAGATGAAGTACTTGACTTTGTCATGCATAGGTTTTCCTCATCAGGTAAGCCTCCGGAGTTCTTGGTGCTTTGCCGATCATCCACTCATATGATTTTCAAGGTTCTACTAGACCACCTGATGATCCTCTGGATGATCCACAGGATGGCTTCCCTGGAGATTCCTCCTATGGTGGTTCTGGTGGCTCAGATGCAACAGAGAAACCTCCCGACATTCCACCACCCCACTTTGGTCGTGTGCTAGACATTTTAACCATGGACATGCATAAATTGTCTACCCTAGGTAATCTTGCACATTCATGGTGCCTGACTGATCATCAACTTACGTGACTTTTGAGATTCCTCTAGACCACCTGATGACCCTCCTGGTGATGCTCAGGAAGGTGTCGAAGACCAGGGGTCTCTCTCAGGTTCAGAGGACGACACTGAGCTATCTGTTAATCCGGATCCAAACATTCCTCAGCGCTCAGCGCCAATTCCAGCACTTTGGAAGCCGCCCCTACTACGTCCCTGGAACTTTACCAGAAAGTTGTACACAGACATCGAAAGTGAGCTATCTTTTCTATTTTTACCACCACACATCTCGCTCAAATAACTTCAGATGATGCAAACACCTCCTTGACATCCCAAACCTTGAACGCTGATGGTACGCCTAAGTGTCCCATGAATGCATTCATGATTTTTGCTCGCAGGAGACGACCCCAAGTCTCCGCAGAAAATCAAACAATGCGAACAGGGGATGTCCACAAAATCTTAAGTCGAGAATGGAATGCTATAGAACTGGTAATGTATTTTCTTCACGTTTGTAACGGTAGTTCTGATCTTGAGATCAATCAGTCAGACAAGCAATCTTACCTTGATCAAGCTAAACACCTCGAGAATAATTTCAATCTCAAGTACCCGGATTACGTTTACAGACAGAGACCGAATAATAGCAGTAAAAAACGAAGAGCAGACTCCACAGGTGCTGCTGCAGACTCTGCTTCTGCCATGGACCCAGCCAGCGACCAGTCTTCCAATCCAGAGTATGGCGAGATATCTCCTGTCGACTACCATCATGATTCTCAAGAAAGATATGAGAGCAGTGGACCAGACGTCCGTGCATCTGCAGAAGCTACATATGATGCTTCCTACTTGTCTCCAGCGCAAGCATTGAGTTACCAACTGGCTGATTCTTCGCAATATCATGCGTATGGTGAAAGTGATAGACAGGCGTCATACTTACCTTCTCATGGGCGCGCCATGCCTGACGTCATTATGGGACCGTCCACATCCACATCTCGTGGATCAACTAGTGCTGCTTATTTCCCCCCCTTCATGCCCAATGCACCCCATGCCCCGTCCGCTTCTTACTTCCCCAGTCAGAGTGGAAGCGAAGGGCAGGGGCACCCCTCCAGTCGCTCCAGTCGAGACGACATAGGACGCACATCCGTCCAATTTTGGTCACAGAGTGGTTCAGAATCGTCTCCACACGCTGGAGACGATAGGCACCATCAGTACCAATTAGTTCAGGCATCACCAGCATCATGGGGTGCTAGCAACTCGCGGCCACTAGCTTCGAATAATCCATTGGTTCATTCCCCGGGCTATCGTTTTTCGATGCTAAACTCTCCTTTCGATCTGTCTCAGAACAGTTCCCATAGCGTCTATTCAGCCCAACAGTCCCAAATTTCAGACGTTTCTCATCACTACTAGGGTACAGCACGGGTACGGGTAACCCGCACAGGTCACGGGTAAGGGTATCCTGGGGTACGGGTACGGGTCTGGGGTCATGGCACCCGCACCCCTACCCGTACCCCTGCCACGGGTGTCGATACAAAAATGGGGGACAAATGAAATAAATTTCGACTACCTAAACAAGTTGAAAACTCTAACTTAAAAAACGTCAAACTATAAAACATCATGTGACACTTGCAAACCTTCATCACCTACTAGTACTGCCCATCATGCAGCTCACATTTGCAGCCACAGTGAAACGAGTTATCAAAATGACTGGGAAGGCCAAAGCTGCTCTAGAAGAAAAGACTATGAGAACTTCTTCAAAGAAGCGGAAAACCGACGGCAATGGAGATAGTGGGGACACGAACCCGAAGAAGGCAAAGAAAAGCCTACCGCCTGGTAACACTCCCACCAGTGATGCAGGATCTGCAGATGAAGACGAGCCAGTTGACAAAAATAGGCCTGTCATAGCGTCATCGACAGCATCATTGTCTCCGCATCCAGAGTCGATTTCAAGCTGGTGTGCTGTTGTGTGTACTGAGGACGAAGAGAATGCATTGTACGAAGACAATGATGACAATGATGCCGACAACAACACAGTATTATCGGCCGACAATGAAGCTGATGAGACGGCAGAGGATGAGCTCCGTAAGTGCAATAACCTTGATATATATATTATACTAATTGAGTACAAAACAGGACGCCTAATGACAGAATGGAACTCACCAGTCTATGCGTTTTTTACTTCAAGTGCCAAGCCAAAAGGTGCAAGAATAAAGTGAGACGGTACCTTGACAAAGGTGATGCACGCTCGACTGGCAACATGCGGAAGCATGTGCGTTCGTGCTGGGGTGATGAAGTGTTGAAAGCCGCTGATCAGGCCAAGGATGCCAATGAGGTGCGTGAAAAGATTGTTGGTAGTTTCCTGTGAAATGGATAAATCACTGCATCATTTGAGCGCAAAGGGAAAGGGAAAGTGACATACTCGCATCATCAACATACGCGCGCAGAAACAAGGTATGATTGAAGTCTCATCAGAGAGTTGGGAACCTGAAAAAGCATTTGCCTCCAGGGCCGAGATTGTGCGCTGGGTGTCTGAGAGTCTGCGTCCATTTGACATTGTCAAGGACTGCACATTTCAGTCGCTGATGAAGACGGGGAGGCCAGAATACCACATACCTTCCCCATCCACTGTTTCGTGTGATGTGTGGCAAGTCTTTGTGCGAACTCAACGGCGTGTTGCTACAATGCTACAGGTAAGTGATTTTTTTTTAATTTAAAGAAAGATAATCAAGACGTACCAGGAATATGATGGTAAAGTAAATTTTACCACTGACGGTTGGTCGTCGCCCAACCATCGTGCGTTGGTTGCTTTTTCAGCGCATTTCGAGCATAAGGGGGAGCCGCTAAGCATACCATTAGACGTGGTTGAAGTCAGGAAGGTAAAGGCTTACCTATCTAGTAGGTAGATGTGCACTAAGAGGTTCATAGTCCCATACTGACGAAGAACTTGCAGAGACATTTGCGAAAATGCTAGAAGAATTCGGGATATCAGAAAAGGTATGGTTCATAACAGTAAAAGTCACTTACATGCAACTAAAAACATGGTGCACAGATCCTGAGTATTACTTGCGATAATGCGTCCAATAACGATGCAATGATTCACGAATTGAGTGGTAAAGTGCTGGAGTTCGGCGGAGCAACGACGCACATGAGGTGCTTCCTCCACACGGTCAACCTGGTAGCGAAATTGTTGATCCACGAGTTCGACACAACAAAACAAGGAGCCAACCAAGTAGATAGTACTGATGTGGAGCTGGAAGAACTGAATGCAGAGGTGGAAGAGGATCCAGGGATGATGGATGAGGTTGATAATGATGATGGATTTGTCAACGAGGTTGAGTTGTTGGATGAGGGTGAGCGGGTCGCACTGAACAAAGAGATTCAACCAGTCAAGTTAGCGCTTGTCAAGGTAAGCGCAACAAAAGAAAACTCACCATTGAACTCAACATATTCCCCAGGTGCGCAAACTTGCCTACAAAATCATACACTCCACTACTATCATCCTTCCTGCATGGCATGGCATCCAGAGGGACTTGTCGGAACCCCAAACCCTCATGCCACGTGATGTGGCCACACGATGGAATTCCACGTTTGATATGTTGGACTATGCACTGGAGCATTGAGAGGCCGTGGATGCCGTTACACAACGGTGGGACTTAGGTTTACGGAAGTATGAATTGGAGGATAACGAGTGGGTGATACTGCAACAATTGCGGGATATACTTAAGGTGCATGTTCCTTTTCCAATGTCACACATGCACTGCATTGTTTGCTCTTGTTAGATTCTAAAGGACGCCACCCTTTACTTCTCGCGCGCAACACCTAACCTTGTGACAGTGATCCCAGCAATGGATCACATCGACAAGACACTCATGTCCTATTCACGCAACAAGAAATACTTGCCCTCGATTTGTTCGGTGGTTCGGCTCGCTAAAAAGACACTCAACCGGTACTATCAACTTACAGACAAGTCTCACACATATTGAATCGCAATGGGTAAGTTCTATTCAATCTAGTTTTTTTTTTGGTTTTTACTGATGGTTAATATTATTATACTAGTGTTACATCCCCAACACAAGCTATCATACTTCAAGGCAGCACACTGGCCAGACAACTGGATACAAACTGCGAACCTACTTGTCTGCGAAGAATTTGAACGTTCGTACATGACGCTTGATGATGACTCTGATTTTGGGTGTGAGGAGGACGTCTTGGAGTCAAATGGTGATATACCGATGGTATTTTTCTATTTGCTTTTTATTTAGCATTTGTACTGACTCAATCTTAGAGTGACAACATTTTTGACAATCTCCCAGCACTCACAACCCCCAAACCTACTAACTCAGCCTCTGAACTTGACCACTACCTTAGTACAGACGTGGAACATGTCACCAATCCTATCGCTTGGTGGCTCGAACATTACAAATCGTTCCCCTGCCTGTCGCGCATGGCCATTGACTATCTAACTATCCCTGGTGTGTGGCATTTTTTAAAAAATACCTTGTAAACTTACTTTGGCTATAGCAACTTCTGTAGATGTTAAATGTCTCTTCAGTTGCAGGCATCTTGTCCTGTCACACGTCCGAAATCGTTTGTCAGCGCAATCGACGCGCGCTTTGCTTTGTGTTGGCTTATGGAGCAAGTTGGGCCTGGTTAATTCCAAGGATATCATTCACGCGTCTAAGCTCCCGGATGTCATTGGCGAAGAGGAAGCATTGGATGAGGGTTGGGACAGCATCCAGGTCGAATAGTTACATCTGTATCATTCTTTACAATGCTTATCATAGTGACCCGCGAGTATACCCCTCACGGGTGATACCCTGGGTCCGTTTTTTTGATACCCATAAAAAAACCCGTACCCACACCACGGGTATGGGTATATCTCTGGGTACGGGTATGGGTTGGACTGTCCATACCTGCGGGTTTACCCGTGCAGTACCCTAAATCACTACGGCGCTGTTGACCACATTCAAGAGAGCTCAGCAGCATCCAGACAAGAGGCTGCAAACCATGGTCATCATTCCCCAGTTTCCACCGCACATGTGGGATATCCGCAAAGTAGTAACTCAACCGTGCATCAATACCATACACAATCTCAGAATATTCTTGTGTCGACACCATTGCCACCTGCGCAGTCAATGCCGGTATACTCACACATGCAGAGCACAACTTCCCCCGCTGGGTCAGGCACGGACTCTGTCTCTCAATTCCAGTAGTGCACTGAATCTTGTCGAACATTGGAGGATCGGAAGGATGATTTCTTACGCTTCTCTGCACTGCAGATGCCTGATCTTACAGGGGTTCCACGTATTTTTAGTAATTTCAATCTCAAGTACCCGAACTATGTTTACAGACAGAGGCCGAACAACAGCACAAACTTGATATAACTTTATTTTCCTGATGCTACAGTATATTACTTTGTCTTCTTACAATTTTGATAGATATTGTATAAATTTTAGGGTAGACAAAGCTTTGTAAACCTTTATCATTTTCAGGTCAATTACCTGATGTTGCTGCACCCGCTTCTCCTACCACCACACCCTGGTCGGTTATGACCACACACATGTGTGTATGCGCAGTCCTTCAAGTTACCACTGCCTTTGGACAACTGCTAGATGTCAGACAGCGAAGGTGCACATTCATAGCAGGTATGATCTGGTCTCTCAGCCGGCGCATTCTTCCAGGATCGCCATACACCCTCGTGTGGCGGAGGAGAAAGAGATAGATGATGTCGCTGTGCAGCGGTGGCTCGACCAGTGCTCGCGATTTGTGACAGAGTGTGTGGGGTGCAAGACTGGCCAGTGTGAGTAAGGCAACCTGGCACTGGAGATGAGAGATCCCGGGTAGTTTAATTCTTTGAAGGTCATGTAAGAAAGTAGCTCACCATTAGTTTGTGTTTGGCTGTGACCCTGTTGGAGGCAATAAGGGGTTTTGGTAGTTAGTGCTAGTAGGCCGGGTCAATTCTAAAATGTCGTTGTCAATGTCGACTTGAACTCTCGTAAATTACTTACGTGGACCCTAAACCTTGCCTGATTTGGCCACCACCGTAGAATTGACCAGGCCTAGTCACGTCGCGAACTACGTTACGGTTGGACTGTCCGTATAACCGTGTGTGAACAAAGTTCACAAGATGTTAGGAAGATGTGAGGAAGGATTTTCCGTAAGATAGGTTCTTCCTACGTTGCGATAAAATTCTGCTAGAACAGTATTCAGCACATAAAAGCAAGCCATCTTCCTACCGTGCCCTTCAGAATTATCTGATCCCATACCACATCCTTACAAACAATGCGTTTCTGCTTTGTCCTTGCCGTTATTGCTGCTTTGACAGTGAGAGTGATGCTGACAGCAGTCGTATTTGTCCCTTCTTTTGCAACACTGAAACCTGCTGCAAAGGAGAAAAATGTGTGTTGTCAAATGCCTGGGCTGATGGTATAGAAGTGAGCATGAGAAGCTTGCATCCTGGATTTAACCACATGACTCACCGGTGTGGTAGGACGACTTCTGGGTATGTGTGAGAACGCACTGGGAGTGAACTACAGTGAGTCGTGTTTCTACTTTCACATCGTTGCAGTATGGTTGATGACATGACGCGTGACTTACTAGTGATTTCTTGCCGAGTTGATCAATGTGCTTGCTTTTGAACAAATTTCACTGCCACTCGAGCAATGGATATCTTAAAATAGAGGAAATCTCAAACAAGTACTTGAATACATAGCATATGACTGAAGTGCTCACAACGCAGTTTTGTAGTCTCGTTGTAAGCTTGAACCTAGGATCCCTCGATGACACCATGACTCCTCCTCCCGTCATGGGCACTGTTTACTGGGCTTCATGGATGTATTTTTGGTCCCCACTGAGCCGCTGGGGTTTATCACGACCCCATTATATGGTGGAAAATTGTCGTCGAATTGTGAAAGCTCGAGATTCCGAAGAAAAACGGAAAATTTGCTCACCCCAGGCCATAGTGTCAATATGATATATCATTTTACTGTCATTGAAGTAAATCCGTGATATATCCCTGGAGTCGGCTTACCACGGCAAATAGTTTAGATGCCATTACAAATGATATATCACCATGTACCATTCCCAGTATCTATTCAACAGTAGGAACAATATATCAGGAGCATAGGACCATAGGATGATCACCTGTTGCATAGTGTACCCCCCCTCTCCTGGTGGTTCACCCCCTGTGAAAAATTTTCCTGTAGGACCGGACCTTAATTGAGGTGAGGGGTCTATTTCTATGGATATTTGGAGTAGGTCTATCATATAGCTGGCCCAGTACACACATAGGATCCTTCTACAGGAATTAAAATATAGAAAATCGCATTTTTGACATTTTTGATGTTTTTACATGTCTTAATCTTGCATAAATAATCCAGCCTGCTCATATATAATCAGTAGTACATTCATACATATGTTCTATGTCAAGGATCAGCCCTACATAGGGCGCAAATATGATATCTGATGTACAGGAGGTATTTCTACTGATAAGAAGCCTACATAATAATTAAGCCTGTGATAAGTGATCGGATACCTGTGATACCTCTCATATATGTCCCTAATGATATATGTGAAGTTTTAGAAAGATCCATGAAGGACTGACTGAATGACAAGCAAAATGACATATGTGTGAAAAGTGACAATTGTCATCTTTTTACACAAAGTCACATTTATATATGATATAGGCCGAAGATTTCATTAAAAATATGTAGGATACATAGTAGACTACTAAATAAACCTCTACTACACACTGCCCTGAGGTTAGAGGATTGTGGAAGAAATGTAGTGCATATCTGAGTTGATCCAGCATTAAAGTCCTACTACTGCCCAACTGATCATTTTCGATGTTTTGGGTCTTTGGACTTTCCCACACTCCATTTCTTATCTATTTCACTTCCTCAGCACTCAATTCCTGTTGGATTGTTTTGTGAATTTATGAATATGATACTGAATATATTTGGAATGTACTCCAAGTTTCTGATTATTAAATTACGATGTTTTGAAGGTATTGATCCCTTATCAGTAGAAATAGCAAGCATATGCAGTATCTCAAGCCTACAACCTATTTTGAACTGATCTTTGTCATACAAAGCAAGTATATATACTGTGATAATCATATATGCACAGGCTGAATTATTTATGCAAGAGTAAGACACTGAAAAACATCAAAAATGTCAAAAATGCGATTTTCTATATTTTAATTCCTGTAGAAGGATCCTATGTGTGTACTGGGCCAGCTATATGATAGACCTACTCCAAATATCCATAGAAATAGACCCCTCACCTCAATTAAGGTCCGGTCCTACAGGAAAAATTCTGACAGGGGGAACCACCAGGAGAGGGGGGGTACACTATGCAACAGGTGATCATCCTATGGTCCTATGCTCCTGATATATTGTTCCTACTGTTGAATAGATACTGGGAATCACTTTTCAAAGTCTGTCCACCTAGAAATCATTAAATAAGAACACATTTTATGTTTTCTTGCATATGTGCTATATCTATTGATGTAGGACGCTTCAGGGGGTGAAATAAAGATGGGAATCTACTCATATATGCTCATAGACATGTTCTGAATATAATAGAACACCTCCCCACCAAAGGGGCAAAAATGCGAAAATGTTTTATAACCTACCCTATGTCAAGAGGGCCCTAGAGGAGGAGCAGGCACACAAATAGACAAAAAAAGCGGTCTATTACATTATATCATACATATATATACTAAACTGCTACTTATATATGCACAGGGATCTATTGTGGTGTGGTGGTGAAGCTGCAATGATGTAGGGGAAGGGTGGGAATAATTGAAATTGTGGGGATGTACCATATTGGGTCATGTTTTGGGTGTTGTGGAGTAAGGTGGCTAAAAATGCGAAAATGCGGAGTGTGAGAATAGTGTGAGAAGGCCTGACATGAGGAGGTGACCAAATGCCTGGAATGACAAAAGCTGAGTTTCAAAATTGCCAAAATTCCGGCAGTGCATATTGGGTACATGGTGATATATCATTTGTAATGGCATCTAAACTATTTGCCGTGGTAAGCCGACTCCAGGGATATATCACGGATTTACTTCGATGACAGTAAATGATATATCATACTGCCAGGATATTGTGCTCACCCGCCGCCAAAAGATATAAACCCGGGTTCGCAGAGCGCAACATAACCATCCCTCCCTGTCTATTTGTACACATCCAGTGTACTCTCTTCTAGCCCATCCTCGATGCTTGAGAGACGGTCACAATGGGGTCTCCAGTAGTGCTGCTGCGGTCCGGTCCAGAACCACGGTTCGAACCGGACTTTTGGTCCGGTTCTCTGTGGTTCGGTCCATGGTCCTCGCGCCAGCCCGAACCAGACCGGAAAACGGTTCTCAGTTCTAGGTCCTCCCGAACAGTTCCATTTTGGTTTGGCCGACCCGAACCATTCCGAACCCTTATCGACTTCGACTTCGACTTCATCTGCTTCGACGTCAGACTATAGTCTTCAGGATTTGCACTCTCGGTTGATCATGCTGCCTTTAGGCTTTTTGAGGGTAAGTACTCCCTAATTAAACTCTCAAGACTCTCACCCACTGACATATGTAGTGCACTTCATTCCACTTCGAGAAATCAGCAATAGGCGCAGAAATGACCACATCTCATCCACTGACCGCGTCGATATTTGTTGCTTTGACAAAATGGGAACTATTACCACGGAGAAATGCCTTCAAGGGGAAAATTGGATGAGATCTGTTGCCATCGTGGCATTGGATATGCTGGCAGCGCTTAACGCAGGCATTAATGTGGCATCGAGAGGTACAGAAGAGCTTGGAGAACTTTTGGAAGATCAACTGAGTCATAGTGCAGCGCTTGAGCATGTCTATAAACATTGTCGTCGAGCAACAAATGACTTTGCTGAAGACTATTGAACAAAGAGAATGCAAAAATAAGGTAACTGAAGCACACAGGGTATCAGTGCAATAAAAGAACGAGATGAAAGATAACGCAAGATCAACGAAGATGAAAGCAATTTCAGTACACACCAATATAAATGAAACCGACTTTCTGCTCGAGTGGTACTTTATTCGCTGCAGCATATGTAAAATAGTTGAGTGTGGAGACCACCTTCGTATAGTCAGTAACACCCTCCTTGAACATTGGGGATAACAGATGATCGGATAGCCTTGCGGACACAATGTAATGGTGTCGTGGAATAGAGAGTTAGTAGAGTCATGTCTTGAAGATCGTTTCGAATATTCTTTTGAAGGCATGCCCACGTGAGGTCAGTGAGAGCAGAGGGAGGTCAGGATGGCCGATCAGATAGCAGACCAGAGCCAGCTGACAATGTTCCGCAGTACTTTTGAGGTTAGAGGCCCTCTTGTCCGTCACGTATTCGGAAAATCTTGTGTGACCTGCAACGGTTATCACAGTCTACTACTAATACCGATGAGATGCAGATGAATATGAAGCAGATGACTCACCGAAAAGTTCCTTCCACGACGATTCAAAGTCATCCACCGAGTTCTTCGTGTCCTGGTGTTCGGCAGAGCTCGAATGATGCCCTGATCTCTAATGATAATCTAGGTGGCATAAAGAGTGATCTGCAAATGCACGATGAATTCTGGAACCACATCTGCAAGTCTCTATGGAAGAGCTTACAAGATAGCATTGCATGAGTTACATAACTGTGGGATAAGAGGACTCGGGTAGCTGATGTCCAGCATTGAGTTCGATGGATAAGTGAATGCCTGCGGGTATATGCTAGGAGGGGACTTTGAGATCCTTTCCGCCAAGGACTGGATAGAGCGCAAAGACATGAAGCTGAATGCCAAGGCCTGATAGAGTGGCCCACCTTCAAGCTTCAAGCCTGATATATTGGCCTTGCAAACTACAGGAGATGATGGTGCAATGAAGCAGAGACGGGTGAGTGGTAGATGAAGGATGGGCTAAGCCAGTGAGCGAAAATGAGTGACAATAAGTTCCGCGCCAGTTTCCAGTTTTCGTCAGCTCTCAGGCGCATGTCTACCATGATAGCCTTGTGTTCACTGGATTCTCAGTCTTCTACTGAAAATTTTCGGGTTCAGGTTCGAGTTCGGACCGGAAAAAAAAACCTGAACCGGACCACAGAGAACGGTTCTCTGTGGTCCGGTTCTGGGTTCGAAGATTTTGTAGAACCGAACCATGGTTCGGTTCTTGGTTCTCGTCCAGGACCCTCTGAACCGGACCTGAACTGGACCACGGCAGCACTAGTCTCCAGAAGTGAATGATCAGAGAAAATGAGCTGAGCTTCAAGGACACAGATGGAGACGCCAGGAAACCCACTACTCGCCACTAGTACTCCCCATATTATCCTCCTCTTTCAAGTTTCCGACCACAACCCCTCCCCAATCCATGCACCCAAAATTGCATCTCTTGTGTCTTTCACAACAACAAGAGCTCTTTCTCTTTTTTATTGCTTGTCGAGGGTAACTTGGAATTCGCATCTGGAATATGGCGTATTCAGCGAGATAAGATAATATGCTAGTCGAGCGAGCACAGTAGAGTCGCTCTCTGCGTCGTTGTCGGCGGCTGATCACGAAAGACAGGTGTTGTTGCAGATGCGAATAATGTAGCGAACCAGTCGATATCAGCTGCAACTAGCTGAATCCTTAATACATGAGGAAACTGGTTGAGGACTCGGATGTATGATTTACCTGTAGGGCAGCCATCATGTGTAGGCTAGTCGTGGTCTGATAAGGGGTTGGGTGGTCATCGTCATATCGTTATGATTGTGTTACCTAACTCCTTCCGCGTCTATGGGTCTCAGCGTTCAGCGTTAACGTTCAGGATATCGATTGGAGGAGAGGGATGTATACGCATGTGAAAATTTATAACATGAGGTGCGTAGCTTGGCCTTCAAGCTTCAAGTTTGGAGCTGTAGCAGCTGACCATTGGTTTGGGGAGTACAGATGGCATGAAATGTCTTCTATAGCTAGGGCCGATGGGCAGTTGATTGGGCAGTAGACTGACTTGCTGCTATTCAAATCCACGGGACAAGACAAGACAAGACAAGATTGGATATTGAATATTGATATTGAGTTCTGTGCAAGCGTGTATGGCATGGGGTGCTGCGCTGAACGAATGAGGCACATTTAAAATAATTGCTTGCAGAATATAAATGCTAGTGGGGTGTCTTTATTGAACATCGTGAATGCCTCTGATCAGGTTTTTCGCAAGAGGCAGAATTTGCAAGGACTTTGGTAATGGAAGAGAATGACAGGGAAGGTCATTGTGGTGTTTGCTCCCTAACAACGAACTTGAAGGACCACCTAGACTTGAAGGATCGAGAGAGTTGAGAGACGACCAAGTCTGGGGCCCAAGTGTCGCTGTTTCAAGTGATCGTGCTTTTTCTATTTTACCTATCTATTTGTCACTTGCGATAGAATCTCTGAGTTGTGCTGTCATCTAAAGTCTTACCAATTTCTACTACTACATCCACCAGTATGACCATTTCTGTGCAAGACCAACACAGTTAGTACTAGGTAATCCACACCCATACCGTCATTGATGTTGTTTTTCTGAATAAGTGTCGTGCTTTCAAGTTCTTCAGCGCTCGCCTGATAGATTTAACGCTCACTGAAGACATTGCCTCTCATCGAGCTACTCATGTGGCATGTGCACCACTGACCGCAGCAAGAATATTCAAACGTATAACCATACACAGGATTGCGTGTCAGATCATCGGATCCATCTCTCCCTCACGAACCTCACCAGCTTCCTGGAAGGTGATGCAGGAGTTTTTGGATGCAGCGCCGAAACTGGGAGGAAGCATGTGGCCAGATGCACCATTCACAGCGTTTGTGGGATGATTGAGGTTCCTGTAAACTCGTCAATCACAGTGGCGTGCTAGTCACTTGCCATCACTGTCAGGAATGGCATCTTGGCGGTCAAACTGACATGATCCTGTTGTTCTACTAGCAACTACTGGAGCATGGTCAGCGCTCCCATGACTGTGTGTTGCCACACCATTGAACTTACTTGCGATACTGTATTGCATTATCAACACCAATATATGATATGTTCATTTGCATAAAATGAGCAAAATAATATTGAGTGGTGAGTAACATAGTTATATAGAGTCTACCTTGTGTGTACTTACATTATAGGCCTTAAGTAAGCTTGACTGATAACTATTAACCGAGTCCAATCCATATTCTGTAACTGTTCATCACTTACTACGAGGCTGATTGGAGAAAGCATGATGGCGAACGATGATCTGGGGTATGATCCTACTATTATGCTCGGCAGTTGTGGTATTTACTGTACTGGATGACCGTGCTGCAGGGTAGAGGACTTGCCAGACGATTTGACGCCCTTTATCACCCAAACAACTCGCGACCACGTTAGCAGGAGGTGCATTTGGCGATGTTTGGAAATGCGATTACAATGCAAATGGTATCTCAACCCTCATGAGTCCTATGTGTTGGATTCGTTTACCCTGATGGTCCATTTATCAATTTAAGGTTGCAGTCAAGGCCTTCAGATTTCCGGAGCATTATGATTTGGAGAGAATCAATAGGGTAAGTGATTCATACGAGAATAGCATACTCAGCCCATATGTGCATATAATGCTTCTTTGGATCGTACAGAAAATCAGCCGAGAAATTGGCATTTTGAAAATTCTGTGACACGACAACATTGTACCGTTGTGGGGTATAGCAACAGGATTTGGACGGATGTCAGAGTTGCGGTGCTCAGTATCTCCGTGGATCCCAACATGGCACGTTGAATGCCTACCTAGCATCTAATCACAATGATCTAACAGCTCTGGACCATTCACGAATTGTGAGCAGAATCCTCATCACTTCCTTTCACTTTTCAAGACTTACTCGAAGTTAAAAGCTGGAGGATGTCAGCGCTGGACTTTGTTACTGTTGGTTTACATCCATCTTCTCAAGATATTCGAGTAGTAACCTACCTTTGGTGTGGTGCAGTGCACTCTGTGCCTGTCATGCACGGGGATATAACAGGGGTGAATCCGGAGCTGCTGAGGCATGCTTGACAACTAATGAACCTGCAGGCGAACATACTAATTGACAAGAGCGGCCATGCGAGGCTAATTGATTTTGGTCTTTCCACCATTCTCCGACCCCTTCTCGGCCAGTCGCACTTGGCTGCGACATCTATACGCACAGGTGCCATCCACTATGCAGCACCAGAACTCGTTCTGTCAGATGACATCGATGACGATGTCCGTGACCTGGGGCATTTTGAAAAAATCGATATCTACTCTTTTGGTTGTGTAATGCTTCAAGTGAGTTAGTAGTTTAGTCGCAAAATGTTTGCCCGAGGACTCATTAGACAGGTTCTCTCGGGTCGGCACCCTTGGTCTGAGATCAAGGCTATAAAACTGGATTTGCACATTGTTGTTATTTTACTCGAAGGCCTGTGGGCTGCAGCGTCCCAACGGGAGTCCTGCAATAATAGACTCAGATTGGAACTTTATCCAAAGGTGTCTGCAGTTCAGACCCGAACTTTGACCTTCAGCAGATGAAGTGCTTGGCTTTGTCATGCATAGGTTTTCCTCCCCAGGTAAGCCTGCATAGTTCGTGGTGCTTTGTTGATAATCCACTTACACACACTTCAGATTCTTCTAGACCGCCTGATGATCCTCCCCATGACGTGCAGGATGACCTCCCGGGAGCTTCCTGGCAAGGCAGTTCTGGTGGCTCAAATACAACAGAGAAATCTCCCAACATTCCATCACCCCACTTTGGTCACGTGCTAGATATTTTGACCACGGACATGCATAAATTGTCTACCCTAGGTAATCTTGCACATCCCGTGTTGCCATAAACTTACAACTACTTAGACAACACATCATGCGAGTCGTCCACTGCGCCAGGATGTGTAAGTTATCAATCTTGTGCATCACTGCCACTAATTGGCACTTGCAGGACATTCCTTCTAAACCTTCAGGAGTTCACAGGGCACTCCTTGTTGGCGTGGAAAAAGTGGCTGGTTACCCCAACCTTCCCCAAGCGCACAAGGATGTTGTTAGAATGAAAGAATTCCTTGTTAACTGTATGTCCGTTTTATGACTGGAAACATCATTGATTGATGTACTCTTACAGCCCGTGGCTACCTACTTGAAAACATTGTACTCATGATGCACCATAAAAGTATCGCGAAATGCCTGTATCCCAGCAGAATAAACATAGTAAGCATCCTAAAGTATGTATTATGCATAACCTATCTGATCATAGAGCGAAGCTGCGCGAGATTGACCTTCTGGTCCGACGTACATCCCAACATGACCAGATTTTCTTCTACTGTAAGTAAGGTCTTACGATATTGTGACACAAGCGTCTATACGTTTGGGTGCTAACGATCCATCAGACACCAGTCATGGAGATCAAGTCCTTTGCAAACATGACTCTGAACACAATAATGGTAGTGTACAAACCTCGTTCCTGTAGTGCATGTTAATTTCTTCATCATAGCTATCCTCACCTACATGGGGAAGCATACCATTGATAATGTAAGTACCCGGTCATGAGTTGTTGACTGGTTCATGATGCTGAATGACCCCAAGGTTTTGAAAGCACGCCTCATTGATCCGTTACCTCGAGACGCCAAGCTTCTTGTGGGTGCTCCGATTTGATTTCTACAGTCCTACTAACCATGCTGTTTTGTGAACAGGCATTCTGGGGTTGTAGCCACTCTCACATAATGTTGGGTATGTAGGTCTATAGCTTGTGTTCGTGTTCGCACTCATAAAAGTGTCAAAGATTTGGAGCATTTCAACTGCAACAAGTTACGATGGATACCCTTCCAAGTCCCAGGCAATTGGGAGGCTCATCGCCAACTTCTTGAAGGGTAGTCGTTGGTCCTCATCGAAGGATGACTCTCTAAAACGGGTTATTGAGAGCGTAAATCCTTCCGCCCTCTACAGAGAGTCTTCCCCTGATTCATACCCAACTGTATGCACGTTTGATTGTCCTATGACGCTCCCCAAGAACCGAGTTAAGGCCCATGTCGTGCGTGTTCCCCTTGCTGATATCTTCTGAATCTTCTGAACCTGATGCCTCTAAGGTTTCCTTGTCTGCATGCAGGGATAATGAACTCACATATGATGACAACTTCACGGGTGACAATGTTACGAAGGTAGGGCTCAGTCTTCTAAACATTCCCAGGTCTGACCGAAAGTCGCTTAGTTCTTCATTGAATACCTGGGTGAGAGGCATATTGAGAGAATGGGGTGTATGTAATTTATCCTTCTTAGAGCGCAATCCTAAGGCTTCTTATCATGATCTACTCTCCTACATACAGTGGGTGGCGCTTTTATGTCGTGGGCGATGAGCTGATGTGCGTTCCATAGGGAAAAGGTCGATGACATAACTCGCAGACGAATGCAGGCGATAAAGCCGACAAGCAGGACAGGGTCCACCTCGTATCTCATGGAGAGGATGTCGGAAAATGAAGTCGAAATCAAGACATGGCACACATGCGAACACCACCATAGCCATAGCGGTGACAAGAATGATACTTCTATTTTGAACTCTCAGCAGCCTGTGGTGCGTTCAACGTGGCTTAATTAAGTTCATCATACTTATCTAGTGTTTCGTGCAGCACTTGAGTCACTACCGCCTGGTGAGTGTGTTAATGGGCTTGCGTGTTGAGTGTCATGTTCACGTGATTCAGGATATGTCGCAGATCGTTGAATTATGAAGCATATAACGGGTGATATCACCTGGCACAACAACTACACTGGTCTCGGACGTTAACATTATTGATTGCAGGTGATCGCGCCTCGATTATTTGGATGTACTGAGACATTGTACTCCGAAAACAAGATCTGTGAGGTCGTATCTTGCAGACGGACAGGACTGTATTACATAGTGCCGAGCTTCGGTAGTAGAGACCATGTTTACCAAGTAGTTCATTGTCGTGCACTATTCGAGAATTTATGGTGGATTGTGAAGCCCAAATGTGTTGTCCGTAATGCAATATTCTCTGCCGTATCCATATTTTTCGCAAGTTACGAACGATTCATCTGATTATGGGGGACATCATGGATCATAAAAGAAGAAACGGTTGTCTTCCTTATTTGAAGGTCTGACTTCAGGAGGCTAGGGATGGATAGCATTAGCTTGCTTTGTCGGTGGATTCCCAGGTATTGGCCAGACAATCTAGATATCTTAATCGTGAAGGGATCTCAGCGAAGTTCCATCTGATTGTGCCTTGCTGTACCAAACATGTCTGGGAATATCTTGCATGATATGATATAACCACAGCTCGCTGTCGGCAATGACGAGCTCAAATATATTACTCCTTACCCATTACAACAACGACAATCTAAACCGCTTTTAGATTTGAAATGGGCGAAAACAGGGATACTAGTATGCAAAGCCCACATCGACCGAGGAAAGGTGCCGGGTGGTGAACACTACGGGTCCCAAGAGGTCGAGTCAGAGGCAGCCGATCAAGTGATACCAGGCCACAGAAAGTAGTAGGAGACATTAGAGGGCTGCGATGTCGCGAGTGACTCCAGGCGGACATGAAAAAGCGAGAGAGCCACGCTTCGTGAGGGTAGAATGAGGATGAGGATGCATCCGGTAGGGGTGAGTATCAGTCACAATATATGCACCTACCACCTAAAATGTTTCTTCAATAGCCATCATCCTCGAGGTCGGATCGGAAGCATAGCATATGCCCACCTCATACTTCTCCGGATGTCTCAAAAGCGCAAATACTGCATATTCGCCTCCAGCGATCCACGTCAAAAGACACAACAACAATGAGTCTGCACCCGCTGCACCACCTTTATCCTTCTTCTCATCTTGTCTCTTCGCTTGTGAAGTGGTATAGCGCGATTGGGACGAAGAGGAACCCGGCACTGAGGAGGTTGGGTAGCGGATGCATGCCGGGCGGTAGGGACATTGCTGACTTGTTGAGGTGTGTTGACTGTGGTATCTACTCTGAAGATGGAGGAGGATGTGGCTGTGAGAACTTTGGAGGAAGGCACATGCCACAAACCCGGAAGTTGAGGAAGAACACCGCGGAGTTTAAATGGGTTCGACGCAGCGTGTAGTGTGAACGAAAACATCAATTTCTACCTTTGCTGCATATATCTTTTTATCCTTATCCAGCAGGTCCTTGCACTTCAGTTTTAGCTTGGCTGCCAATAATAATAATTCAGTGGATACAAGTTACCGGGCAGTCTGCATCTCACGAGGTTCCGGTTGTGATCATCAGAATGAAAAAAAAAAATCTTTCCATGCAATGCGCTCCCTTGGTTGATAACCACCAGCCAACCCAATGCCTGTTCATTGCTATCAGGGCTGTTCAATGTAATGCTTTCAAATGATTTGACAGCGATAATTAGCTTTTGTTGTGAAGCCATCTTGTATGGTGAGAGTCAACAGCTGCTACTGAACAATACCTGCAAACACTCACGTACAACCGCAGGCTGTTACTGCATTCTTTTTATCATATCGTGGATAGTCTTGGGTCAAAAACAGCATTCACCAAACCTTAGTAATCCTGTTGTTTTTGCCACCTGTTTGCTCTTCTTGTGCTGCACTGCACATTTTGCGCTCGAATCCAATCATTTTTATACAACTCTTGTGGGTTTCCATATCAAATCACATGTCCTCATACCAGTCTTCTGGATATATAGGAGTCAACAGGGGTCAATGGGTTTGCCGTGGAGACTCCTGGTCTTACGGGCACAGATTTCCTTATGTTGTTCGCAGTTCTCGTCGGTGACCTGATTCTCATTTACCACTGCTGGATGCTTTGGGGTAAGAACTACTATGTAGTCATACTTCCCCTTCTTTCTCCCTTCGGTGACTTCGGTACGTCATCCCGCTTCTAGTAATCAAGCAGTTAGTGATGAACTCGAATAGCTTGTATAATGGAAGTATTTCACTTCATCGTTGTCACCGATCCCACCGCACCTGCCCCTTCGACCGACATAGCGCCACTGGGACTTGCAGAATACATCATGCCCATTGCCACCACCGCATTTGGTTCTACTCCCGTATTGTGAAGGAATCACCCGAGCACATCAACCAAGACGCCTCCCATCACGCGATGATGCTCATCATCGAGAGTGGTGCGCTCTATCTCGTAACACAAATCGTGTTCATTGTGCCCTTCGTGATACAACACCCTGCACAAGTCATCGTGGCGGTGATTGCCGCCCAGATATACGTAAGTAGGACCCAAATCTATACCTTGTCTAATGTCCGCTCGCTGATTACTCGCATCCATTATAGGGCATTGCACTTATCCTCATAATTATTCGAGTTGGTTTGGGAATTTCATCAGAGCATACCACCAAGGCAATAATGTCCGAATGGATCGCACGCCGTGGGGATGACACAGGCACTTCGAGTACCCAGCTCACTGTTGAACGTAGCATGACCGAGACCGATATGGATATTCGGATGAACGACTTCAATCTCACCCGTATGAGGGGACACGACGAGACCGAGATTGCAGAGGTTGAATTGGCGCCTGTAAGCACTTATGAGCACAAAGGTGCTTCGCTTGTATAACACCTTGAACATGAATCGAAAGCGAATCTTGAACTTGGGAGTGGCGTATTTGGGTATGCACACACCAGAAATTATAGCTTTCAAGCAAGGTGATTGGCAAGAGAAGAAGCTCGGTTTGATCGGTCACCCACCCAACCCAGAACTTCAGGGGTTAATGTGACACTCATCCCTAGTCTCCCCTAGTCAGACCCAATATAATGAAGATGGTTGTTCCTAATAAGGACTCATCCTATGCGCCAAGTTTTAACCGTTGATCAAACCACTTGTCTTATGTTTCTCACCACCGACGCATGCTCGTCGAATTGAAATCTGCGACACTTGAGACAGACGCTGCATTTGAGAAATACGCGATGTTGTGTCGAGCAAATTTGAGAGGCGAACGTAGCGAAGGAAAATACTGAGAACAAAAGCGGCAAGTAACACGAGTTACACCACCAGTTCCCGGTTTATCCATGACTGATATTGTGAGAAAACTATTTAGAGGACCCGGCTTGTTCCTATAACCCTGGCTATAATAAGGGTTTTGTAGACAAATAGTGAATTCACGCCATAAAGGTTGCAAATCTGGTGTGTACTAGGGAAATATTTTCGACATTTGGTAAAAATCAGTCATATATTGCTCATATCCGACACAGAGTCCTGCCAAATATCACACATGCTACATATGGCATAGCTTGGGGTAAGTTATGTGTAATAGAATGGGAGCTGAGATATCTTGTGCATATCACATTGATATGCCTGCTATCTTTGCCTCTGACCGCCACATCTAGGAGATCGTGCACCATACTAGCCTCATTTTTCAAGCATTTTTCGACACAGGCATTGTTACAGTCAAAGTTTATGACATTGGTATACATACATACATACAACAAAGGGTGCAATAGTATGTACTGATGGTATCCTAGGCCTGAACATATGTGACGATAGACGCCACAGCATGCTGAAAAGAAATTCAACAACAAAAATGCTGGAACAACATCAATCCAAGGCAATGAGGGGAAGGGGATAGAAGAGCGCCGCGTGTCTGCAAAATTCGTCCCATATATTATTCACTACCTGGGTCAGAGCCTCCTCATCAGCGCCATCAGCACCACCGTCGCTTGAACGCTCTAACCACTGTTCGATGAATGATCCCTCCAGTGGAATACAAGGGTCCCACATCGGCCATTTGCCCATCAGGAAGGACGGATGGGCGGCAACGAACGTCAGCCAGAAAGTGTCGCATCCCCATGTCCACAGCAATGATTCTGTGTCAACTTTGGTGGTGAGCCATTCCTGGATTTGCTGCAATACTGATTCCCAATGGGCTCGATCAACAGAGTCAAATGAAGGCAGGAGTGGGAGGAATGGTATAATGGTCTTGTCGTCACAGAACATAGCTTGGGACAAATGCAACTTTGGTGCGATATAAGTAGGCTGACATTTGGACATATGACATGTGCACTCACATTGTCCGAGTGTAGTGAACTACCACGGCAGTGTAGAGCTTTCGATGTGACCTCTATGACCGGTGTGATGAATGATCTATACTCCTCATTGATGGATACTGATATGTGGATAGGCTAGCATCTAGTTGTGAGCAAGCCTCGAGGAAATTTGAAGACGGTGGATTCGTACAATGTTCCTTTCTAAAGTCTGTCGTGGAAATGTACCGGGAAAGAAAATGGTGAGGGACATCGGTTGGAGTGAAGCATGATTGTCCTGATAATGAACACCAGGATAGATAGTTGAAATTTTGGTGAGTGATAACACCGAATCCATATTAATGTCAAGAGAACAATGATCAACAGGTGCGAGACGTGAGAGTTTGGACTTGGTCGTTTTGAATGTGCGCAGTCACGTGATTGGCATATCGCATTGATTGTTTTCTGGAGTCTGCACACCATCCTCGATAACTTATAGTGGAATTGCCCAATCTTCCTCTTGTTGCTTATTTATTGATGCTACACGGTGTCTACAGTTTTTCAATACTACGATGACACCTCGAATCGTGTTCTATGCACTGTATGCCCTAAAAAAGATGGGGCCTATCATATGATGGAACGACGTCATGCTACAAAGCATGTGAACCAGGACATTCACATCCATTGTGCCAAATCTCTTAAGGATGACTGGACACTTTCTGGTCGGGCCATACAGCCAAATATCTCGGCTGCAACGCCTGTCGGCGATCCTGATCCTTCGCTTTCCCCTGCTGGTCACAATGACTTCAACATGGATTTTGATCATGTGGATGGTGTACCAATTGACACGCAAACTGATGGACCGTCCATGGTACCCAAAATGGCGCCACATGATGCAGATTCTGAGTATCCATTGGCCGATCTCTGGAACAAGATCATCAGCAGTCGAATGCTCCAGTTCAATAATGAATTTCCAGACCTATTTGCCGAACTACAGGCATCTCTTGCTTCAGGACAAATTTCTTTCTCAATGCCTGTCGTTCCCACCAACAAGGAGCGTGAGCTTGTCGACGACAGTGCACCTGACTTCGGGATTGAAATTCCTGGTAAGTCGGCTATCTTTCCTGCAGTCTGCAATCCCATACTCAGCGGTATCTACAGATGACCCGCTTCTTGAACCGGCGAGCACTAACCACACCGTCTCTCCGGATCATCCATTGTATCCCTGGCCATCAAAAGCGGTAAGTCTTTTGTGGCGCACACATATATGATATACTTACAACTACATCAAGCATTTTATTACTTCCCTTCTGTTCAGCTCCCCGCGGCTTCCATTTTCCGAAGCCCAAAAGAAGGCGGTCCTGAATTGGGCCAAAGAACTTGGTGCCAAAAACCTTCCCTCACTTGGCACAATGAAGAAGTGCCAGAGTCACCTGCAGGATCTCATAGGTGATCCAACTGAGAAGGTCGTGTCTCACTCTGGAGACATATTCTACATCAATAGTGTCGCAAAAGCAATTGCGAAGGTTTGTGAGATGGATCTCCGTGTTGATGTGATGCTAACATTATTTATAGGACTACTGCTAATCCCATCACTCACCTTGCAATGCAGGACTATCCAGAGGACGGCGGAAAGGGGATGTCGCAAGTGTTCCACAGGAAGAAAATGTTGCTCGATCTCCTGTCACCACCAGCAGTTCGGGTGGATGGGACCATGTACTTTATGGACGAACTGTTGCAGGAGTCGTCGGGAGGCTATTTCATCCCACAACGATTCTTTCTAGCCGGTGCAGACACCACTGAATCCTCTGAGCAATCGGATAAAGTCCTGTATGCATTAGGTCGAGCTGCCGAATGGACGGAAGGTATGTTGTTTGCCTCTATGTAAAGTGTGCTGGTGCTCAAACATTTATCAGGCTGGGTTCATTGTAAGCGATGAGGAGGAGATAATCCCGACATCTATGTTTGTACGATCATTTGGAGACATTGCCGCAACCTGTGGCGAGCTTGATTGTGGACTGATGTGTGTGTTGCTGCTCTGATTTCATTGGCGCCTATGGGACTCAAGTATGCCACAGCCTCTTCCATTAAATATGCATTGCTTTCACCCAGTCCACTGCGAGAAAAGTCGAAAGGTTGAATGGTGTATACCATTCCCTTAATCATCTTCATGGATGACATGTCCGGCAATATCTCAAAGCAGTGGAATAAACACCACACCATATACATGTCCAATGCAAACTTACCGAGAGAGATGCTCGAAAAAGAATTTTTCGTGTGATTTGTTTTGTCCTCTCCTCACGCTCCACCCATGGAATTGATGCAAGCAATGAAAGAGTCCATCTTGTACGGTTTTCGACTTTTTTGTTGTTTTCTAGTATCATTGAATGTACATAGTGATGCAGCACAATCTGGTGTCTCAGCATGGGATTGCAAGTATGACGAGGAAGTCATGCTCATTCCATATGGGCTATTTCTTGCTGGAGATAATCCGATGCAAGCTGAAGAGTGTAGTCATGCGGGGCTCAGCTGCAATTACTTTTGCAGGACATGTGATGTTGGCAGAACGAAGGCATACAAGGAATCCGAAGCTGGCTACAATAGTATTTTTATGGTACGAAGATCACTTCAGTATCTTCCATATGACTTACTGGTACTTGCAGTCAGGCAATCTATGAACCCCTGAGAAGACGAGTCAAGAAATTCGACAACAGTTTGAAACTGCCTTCAAATCAGGTGCCACGACGAAAATCCAGAATTCTGTGGCATTCGACAGGTGTCCAAGATTCAGCTTCGAGTTCGATTCTCAACACCTTGATTGAACTCGGCAAGAAGCTTCGGAAATGTACCATGGGATCTCAAGCACTGCCTGAAAATGAGATCGAGGCCACCCTTCAAAAAGAATTTGAAGAACTCTTGAAAGGTGGACAACTCGACAACACCATCAATCCGCTACTGGGAATGGAAGGTTAGTCATTTTTTAGTTGTTGTGGATCTCTTGCTTAGCTTCCTACAGGGTTAGACATTCATATGGACACCCCCACTGGAGATACTTCATACAATACTCCTGTATGTTGTCAAGTACTTCTGGGGGCAGACTGGTCTTTCTTCTCGAGAAAGCAAAGTTTCTCCCCATATTTCAGTACCGGCTTGAGTCTGTCGACAAGGACAGACTGAATGCTCCCTGCTTAAATGCAGACTACATATGTCACTATAAAGGAAGTTTGATCAGGAAGCACTTCAAAAGTTTGGCGCAAGTTATGCCAGTTATCATCCACGACCTCAGTTCCTCCAACAGTCCTTAATGCCTGGACAGTGATTGGCGAACTCGTTGTACTGGTCTGGCATACAAGAATCACAGACACGGAAACATATCTTGTAAGTTCAACTCATGTGCTATCTACAAGGCTTGTCTCATACCTTTGCGAGACAGGCAACACTATCTCAAACCATCGAAGATTTCTTGAACATTACAACACAATGCGCACTGAGTATTTTGATAAGCAAGCCGAAGTTCAATTTCCTCATTCATCTTCTGGCTTACATTCGTCGTTTCGGCCCTGCGATTGTTTTTTCAACCGAGCGATATGAATCAGTTCAATCACATATTCCAGTTTATCATGTATCTACAGCAACCAACAGGCACCAAGTAGAGATACATGCAAAATCTTTTCTCACCAGGACACAATCAAGCACATTGCTACTGGGGGATATTGGTATGATTCTACCGTAAAGAAATGGGTTCACGCAGGAGAAAAGGTTCTATGTTATCTTGACGAACATCCAGAACAAGTGAGGCTTCTAGGTATACCAAACTCCAGGAAGATTCTTGGGAATGCTCAGCCTGGGGCCGTCCATTACAAGGGCAAATCAGTTGTGACGTGTGAAGGAGAACACGCGCGCTTGAATAGTCATGTTATCTTCCGACAACCAGTGGACGGGAAGGTGAGCCAGTATATATATATTCCTTTCATCATGATTTGCTCATCGATACGACTGTGATACAGCTTCTGGACATATATTGGACGTATTCGAGAGATTCTCATATCATCCCACAACAGCCAAACAGCAGATCACATCGCACTTCAGCTCTTCATGTTTGCGACTGCTTTGCACCCAACTCTCCACTTGCTGTCTATCAATCTTACTGATAATGAGCTGGTTTCAACCGGTGTAGTATGTCATGTGTTTTATATGCAAGCTAATTATTTAAGACTCGGATCACCTCACAGGACATCATTTGTGTTGTCAATCTGCAACATAATTGCCTTGATTTGCAGTGCACGGACATCCATCAAACACCTGTATGTCAAGAACAGATAGCCACCTCTTGAATGAAGGCCACTGTCAAGCAGCAGTCAACTCCAAACTTCTTTCTCAACGTCTATTCCATCCACAACTACTGATCACATCCAATGTGTTGTCCCTGATACACTTGCGAGACTGCCGCTTCGGGTTACCAACGTAGCTGAAGTCCGGGCCATAGCCATACACCAACTATGGGACAAGAGAGCAGTGATGAAAGGCGGAGATGCCCAGCTAACAGGCAGTGGCGAGGGTGCGGATGCTGAACCATCTTTAGTGCCACCTTCTGCCTTTGATCACGCTGCACCGAAACTGCGAAAGTCTGCACCCAAAGCAAAGACAAGAGCAAGCACAGGTGGTCTGAGCATGCAAGGAAGAAAGAATCCAATGACCTCAGATGCTATTGCAGGGCCTTCTATGCAGACAGCACCTACTCCCAGTGAGCAGAATTCAACAGTGTCGCAGCACCATCAAATTTCCTTTGCAACACCAATGGGAGGTCCTCCGCAACATTTTTACTCACCTGCGCCCCAACCATACTATCCCCCACACCAGTTTCTCCCTCCGCCCCTGCTGATTCCTTCAATTCCCCCCTTACACTCCTCACCTCCACTTCACCATTCACCACCCCGGTTGTATCACCCTCCCCCACAATCACATTTTCCGTCTCAACCATATGCCCCTCCGTCTCAACCATACGCCCCTCCGCCTATGCCAGCCCCATATATTCACTCGACTTATCAGCAAACACGAAGCATGCAAGAAGCCCCACCGTCACACCAATTTCAACCTCTGATGTCGCATAGCGTTGTAGGCCGCTTCCCACAGCCTCACTATCCTTCTTAGGTTCGATACCCGCAGAGTCAGCATCACCACCCACAGTTTGGTATGGAGTATCCCCGAGGAACTCATTGATGCCTTCCCATCCCTTTGCCAGTAATAGCTCTTTATGAGGGGAGGCGGAATGAGAGGAGACAGAGCGAAGCAAAGACATGCGGTCGGGTGGAGGCCTTCAAGCCATTCTCAAGTTGGTTGTCTGGCAGCCCCGCAGTTCACGATTTTTACTTGCAGCCATCCGCATCAATCCCATTACACTTGAGGTCAGTCCTTCATTCTACGAGGGAAACAACTCAGCCGCGTTGAGGAACATGAACTCCAAAGTTAACATTCTGGTAAGTTTTTTCTTCTCCTGCCCATTCTTACTGCACTGAGAAAAAGTACCGCTCAGATATATACTATCAACTGCTGATTTATGTCATCTTCTCACCCTTGGTCATTTGCTGCTTATCGAGACCACATTGATGGTGGCGAAATGTCCTGCATTCACCCCTCACCCGAGGATTTCAATCTTTGCATTTCCATGTACAATATGCGCGACTTTATGTACTATTAGTATACAACTTGCGCATCTTTCAGTGATTATCTCTTCCTTCTCGTCACCCCCCCCCCCCCCCAGCCCCTTTCTCCATACTACATCAGTCCTGCCCTTATTCTGAGATTGTGTCATTTGTATCGCTTCATACTCTATCTCCGCTGCTTTCACCAGGCTTGAGCGCACTGCAGGAGCATCTTGTGAAAAAGGTTTCATATCGCAACTGAATTGTCGCAAGCGAAGAAGCAAACATTGAATCAGCCACCGAGCCAACCCGCATCTTTCCGTCGGTCAACCTTGAGCAGAACAGTGAACTGCTCCAGCGCTATCCCGTACGGACCAGTTCAGGTTCGAAGAAGCACAGGCGTCCCACGTTCATCGGGAGGTCTATTGACATCACACGCCACTGTTCCTCGAGGCAGGAGTCCCTCAACTTCCATCCAGAATGCATCTTGACCTCCTTCAGTATACGGATCTGGAGGAAATATCAGTCGTGCACACTCACCACTGGCCCAGACCATGAGCGTTAATCAAGCTTCTCAAGGTCAAACTGGTGTTAGCCCCACCTCCGAGTCTTGGTGCGCTTCACCAGACGGATCACTGGATGAGCCCATCAGTGCTGGTTTGCGTCACCAGAGATCTTCTAGCACTGATTGTAACAACCCATTGATATTTACACCTCAACTCACAAAGCGACTCAAGTTGTATGCAAAGAAAGTTGCTGAAGAGAAAGGTGTCTCAGAGGAGCACCTCTTTGAATTCATTGATGCGAGTTTTCCCCAATCCTATCATGACTTATCTTTGACGCATCTTTAGACTGGAGGAGTTGCCTATATGCTCATTGATATCAAGGCCACCTTTATGCTGTTGAATGAGGCTAACAGAAAGTCTCTCCTCGTGGAAATCAAAGAACTAATTGAATCCAAAGATTTCAAGGTACTCATGTCTAACTGTCTTGTAATCTCTCGCCGACTCAAAGCTGATCGAGCATGACACAGTCGGGTCTTCTTAACCACCTCACAGCATGTGTATTATCACCGAATCTCACCAGCATATGTCAATGACACGCATGAACACAGTCATGGTACATTCAATATCCTTTATGTACAAAAGTAGCGACTGAAAACTATGACAGGATTTTATCAAGAACAACAACGAGATATTCAAGGTCCCAAAGTTCCTGTTTGAAGATGTGGAGCTCACTGCACAACTCTCGAAGCTAGTCAGCGAAGCACTTTCTTGCATCCGCGGCAATGTCAAGACAAAGGTTAGTGTTGCACAAATATCTCACGGAAACAAGCTTAGACTGATTCAGCTGGTGTCATCAATCTTAAAACACTCGAGCATTATGGACACCGCAAGATCGCTAGCCCATGGTTGCATAGAGGTGATGCATCCCATTGGAATAGATACGCGTTTTTTGGTACGGCCTCACTCTCTTGACTGCCCAAGGTTTTTAACGGGACCGCAGCGGCACTGCTTGCGCATATTTCTTATTGGCATCGGTAACTACAAGACCATACCTCTGGAGGATATTTATTTCTCCGTCTCTCCTTCCATCTCTCCACCGAGACCTTGCATCAAAGTGGTGATACACTGGGCATTGATGTTGAATTGGACGACTTTGACCCAGGGCCCATGGTGCACGTTCATGCTAATCAAGTCCACGAGAACAGCGCAGACAGTCCGGGAGATGTTGAAGGCAACATGAATGACGCGGAGGCTGGAGACAATGGAACCGGTCTCGATATCAACCATGATGGAGATGATAACGAGAATCGGCTGACAACACTGAGACTGGCATGGCAGAGACGAATGAACTTCACCCTGATGACTCGGGATTTGGGGGC